TATACCTACCTCTAAAACCACTTTAGTACTATTATACTACCTAGAGGAGGAGATAGCCTCTACTATTTGCCTTTTCCCTTACTACGGCTCGCCTTCTTCGCACTTGCCTTACGGGGGAATCTTATGCCCTTATACTAAGGATCTGCCGCATTACCTACTATATTAGGGTTATTACTAGCATTCTCGCTCTATTTATGCTTAAGGATGCGGTCGTTTAAGGTGTTTACGGAGTATAAGTTCTTCTTACTATTCTAGATGCAATTTCTATAGGCACCCTCTATTATATRCTCCTATTTTAYAYATTCCTACTATTATTAGCTTTAAAYATCTTTATATAGGAGGAAGGCGGAGAAAGAGTACCTTCTAAGGGCCTCTACCCTCTTTTCGCTCGTTCTTATTTAGGATCGGCCGGCCTTAGTAGGCGGTGCATTCCTAGTTAATAATATTACCGCTACGAATCTATTAGCAAGGATGCTCGGATCTTAATTAGAAGTAGTTATACTAACCGGCTCTAGATAATTATCGAGTCTATAGTGTTCTTACGGTCTCTAAGCATATTCTACTTCGCCGGGTCCTAGGTCTTTTTAATTTTCGGGGCGTAGCTACTCGCCGCATCGATTATCTCCGCCTATTCCTTAATAATATAGAGGCTACTAGTCTTAAGCTAGATTATACTAGTTAGTCTCGTCTAGGCAAGGCGATTATCTTTACTTATATTGTCGTCGTTAACTATAAGGCATAGATTACTATTATCGTCCGATAAGTAGTATATATCCTATAAGTCGACGTCGCCTATACCGAAGCGGCGAACTTCCTTCTCGGTTATTATACGGAGAGGTAGAATAGAGTAAAGAGGGGAGGATAGATAGTAAGAGTGCTAATTAGAATGTTAAATATAGTAATTATTAGGAGGACTAGGGGAGATAGTAGAAGGGTAAAGGGAAGAGTCTTATAGCATATAAATATTACTCTTACGCGTATAATAAGTTACTAGTAGAAGCATATGTATAATAGTAGCATTAAAGTAAGATATAGGTAACCGAAACCCGTTACATATTAGGACCGGTAACTAAGTAATAACGGGACGGTAATATTACACACACATAAGCAAATAACGACGTTTATTATATGTAATTGTACGGGCAATTAAATTAATAAGCGAGGTGTGAAATTACTCCACTTAGTAGCGTTAAGCTATATTAGATCGCGTTGTTGCAGGGAAGTCGCTAAAAGTCCACCGTACACATTTCGTAGTCGACGCCGGGGGATTTGTCTCTGCGACTTAAGCTTTTGATCATCTGCCGAACATCAATTATCAATTTCTCGTGGTAGACTCCCTGTGCAGAGACATTGCCGTCAGAAGGATTCAAAAGCGTCAACATTCACATGCTTGGCTCGCCATGAGCTGCATCTATCGAATATGTGCGAAAGATATTCACGGATGATGTAAGCCCAGAGCCTCCTTCCGACATCACCGCCATGCCAGGCTTCCTGCCTTCAGGTGAACTCGGCCGACCATCCATAGAAAAGACAGATGTATACCCTATACGAGTGAGTGGATCAGGTCCTTACAGTTGCAACCCATGATGATCTACCTCCACCGTATGGCAACGGCTATGGCTATGGCGACATCGGCAGCGACCTCCACCTGCTGGACACGATCGCTCTCGTCACGAGAGGTCGCGTTCACATTCGCATCAACCCGTTTAATTGGAAAGTGCATTAAGAAAAAATCCTGGCCGGCGCGTTTGGCTAACGACCCATTCTCGCGTCAATTCTGAGCTGAAGCTTTCCAACATACGTGGTAAGCCTTTTCGCCTTGTGGTCTTGATGGGCTCTGGTTTCTGCAACATCGCAAGTGGTCAAATCAGAGGTCAGAGACGGAGAAGACGAAGTAAGGCATGTGGAAACTGAGCAAGACACTCTATCGATGCCTGGTAAGTCGAAAGAGTAGACCACACGTGAATGCCAAGGTCTCTTCCTCTGGGACGATAAAGATGGAAACGTCGTTGGAGCTTGCATAGCATAGAAATTGACCTTTGATGCGATGCGATGAATGCTTCGATGTCGGGATTCCGACTACTCTAACAACCCCACGGGAAACTTGTACAGGCCCTTGGTGGGGTTGGTAAAAGGTCCATCGATAGGCCATGCTGTCGGGCAAGCTTCAGCCGAAGTGGCAAAGCATGGAGAAGTGGAGCTTCCGTAGTGCTTGTACAGTACTCCAACCGCAAGTGGACATCGACTCTTCTGATCAACAGAAACAAATACTTCTCAAAGATCCAAGATCAAGGGATATCAGCCCTACGGCCACTTCACCAACACACCCCTCTCCAGCCATGGCGCCTCACGCAGAAGAACCCCTCTCACAACTCTCTCCTGCCCAACAACAACCCACAACCAAAAAAGGCCACTCCTCCCTCCCAGTCCCAAACCCCTGCCTCTCCTACTGGCACAGAACGACAAGAGCATTCCCCTACCTGAACCACAACTCCACCACCCCAATCCCAACCTCAAAAATAAAATACCTCATCATCGGCTCCGGACTCGCAGGTTCCCTAACAGCCTACACGCTCCTCCAAAAAGGCATCCCCCCACCCTCCATTCTAATCCTCGAAGCTCGAGAATCCGTCTCCGGCGCCTCGGGTCGCAATGCAGGCCACGTTCGCCCGGACGCGTTTCGTGGATATGCCGCTTACGCTAGAATTCACGGTGCGGAACAAGCGMGAAAGATCATCGAGAATGAGAAACTCGTTCTCGAATCTCTGGCCGCTTTCGTAACGGAACATCAAATTTCTTGTGACTTTCAATCTACCAAGACTTTTGATGTCTGCTTAACGCAAGAGTTTGCGGAGTATGAGAGGGAAAGTCTCCAAGCTTTCGAATCCGCCGGAGGAGATATTTCTCATGTCTCGTTCTACTCGGGGGAAGAAGCGAGAAAAGTTACAAAAGTCAAAGAAGCGGTTGCTGCGTACGAATGGCCTGCGGGATCTAGCCATCCGGCGAAATTGGCACAGTGGTTGTTGAGAGAGTGTGTGGAAAAGGGAGTGGGGTTGTGGACTCATTGTCCCGCCGAGAAGATAGATTCCCATTCCGGATCGGATCCTACTGCTCGATGGGACGTGCATACCCCTCGAGGAACTGTATTAGCGGAGAATGTGATACATTGCACGAATGCGTACGCGGCGCATTTACTTCCGGAATTGGCGACTTTCGTCACACCGAATAGAGCACAAGCACATACCTTCGTTCCTGGACGGGAGCTTTCTGGGGAGAAGGCTTTGAGGAGTACGATGTCGTTGAGATATAGTCTGAAGCACTTCTTCTCGCTGATTCAAAGGGAAGGGGATGGCACGGTGGTGTTTGGGATGTCTAGAGAGAATCCCCTGCTGTCGCAAGAGTACAAAGACAGCATTGTATCTTTCGATGATACTTCATACAGCGATGAAGCCGCTACGACGGCGGCGACGGCTTTCAAGACTTTGTTTCCGGATCCGAGCAATGCTAGACATGGCGAGGGAGCGGATCACTATTGGAGTGGCATCATTGCTATGACACCGGATTCTGTTCCAATGGTCGGTGCGGTTGACGACAAGCCTGGACAGTTCATATTGGCAGGTTTCAACGGACATGGCATGGCTCGTATTTGGACATCGGCTCCTGGTCTGGTGGACTTGATGCTGAGTGGTTCCTGGCCTTCTACTGTACCAGAGTGCTTTCGATACAGCAAGGAAAGAATAGAGAGAGCTGCAAAGGACGACATCAAGAGTGTTTGGTAGTATAGATGAACAGTGAGGTACTTCCATCCCGAATGCTTTCTTTCTCTTGCTGGTTGAGCCTGTAGAAGGTATAACTTGCTCGTTTATCTCGAGAAAGGCTTCATCATGTTACATACACAGTGATAGTGCTCCCTTGCCCGCACCTTTCTTCATCATGCTGGATGAGCCTGCAAAAGGTACACATTGCTCGTTCATCTCGAGAAAAGATTGATCATGTTGCATGTACAGTGATAGTGCTTGTATGCTCGCTCCTTTCTTCATCATGCTGGATGGACCTGCAGAAGGCGTGTTTTGTTTCTCCATCTCGAGATCATGCTGCCGGGGCCGCATGAACCAACGGTGCTTGCTTGATGGGATTTCCGAATGGCTTCTTGATGCCTGTAGGGCTACGATCCACCGTGATGTGTTGTCCAATGACAAAGGCAGCATTGGCAAAGTACATGACAGTGCCGTAAACATCATCCGGCGTCGCAAACGTTGTGTTTGGATTTGCGTTCCTGTCTCTAGCCTCCTTGATCCTGCCGAGGATCACAAGGTTGACTCGAATGCCTTCGCTCTGGAAAGTGATTGCGTTGCTCTTCATGAAACCCTTCAGGGCAGCTTTGACAGCAGCATACTTGTATGACCTCATCTCGTTCTCTGCGGGAGTGATGTGGATGATGCATGGGGCAACATGGCGAGCATCACCATGTTGAGCCCTCATAGCTGGGAGACAGGCTTTTGTCATTCCATAGGCTCGCGATACCGCACCTGCTTCTATTTCTGTTTCTGGTTGCAGGACGGCAGGTATTGTGGTGACCAAGACATCAACTGGCCCATCGAAGAATGCGACTGCTTTGTCGATGCCTTTATCACGCTCATCAGCGTCCTCGAGGTCGCAAACGTTCCCATCCAGGTTCACGGGATCTTCTGGGTTAGGTCGGATGTGGCTCTGCAATGTAGCAAGCAGCGCCACCTCGTCGGGATCAAGTATGTAGACTTTGTGGCCATCTTCAAGGAAGCGCTTCACGAGGCATCTCCCAATAGCATGAGCTCCGCYGGTGACGATTACGGTCTTGTTCCTGGCCATGTTGCGAGATGGCTGTGAATGTTGGTGATGTTGCGAGATGGATGTGAATGTCGATGGACGTGAATGCTGATGGTTGTGAATGTCGATGGTCGTGAATGTTGATGGTCGTGAATGTTGATGGTTGTGAATGTTGATGGTTGCGTATGTTGGTGATGTTGCTTTAAGAGGAGCACTGAAGCAGAGCAGATAGCAGGATAGGTAGGTGACGAGAGTACGGTAAGAGAGTAAGAGCATTCGCCTTCTCCCGTCCTGTTCTTACCTACCCTTCGAATAGACAGGCAAGGGCAGCCGCGCGACATGATGTAGAGGCCGATGGRTGGACCTTGCCACTGAGGAGTGAGTAAAACATGTGCTACATTAACAACCTGAATTGTATGAGTGCTCCTCTGCTGCATCCTTTCGATCTCGGCTTAGAGGCATCCCAAGGTTGATAGAAATTCAACGTCGTACAGAGATGTCCATAAGGTACCTTACAAGCTCAACCTGACGGGCAGCATTCGGTGATTGTCCCTGCTGTCTCTGGGCCCGACTGTAGGGGCCTCGCGCCGCTGTTCGCAGCTTACATTAGTCGAAATGGTTCCTGGCGTGACCACAAGTCGATGCCATACTGATAGTTGACCAAAGTTGTAGCAAAGGAAACACGAGTGGACAGTCAATCAGTAAATATCGTGAAGCGAACATGCCTTGAGCATGACGGCGTACGGCATCCTACCGCGCGAACGTCTCTCTTTCTCTCTTCCCCTCAATCTGATTCGGACGGGCATCTCGCCACTGTTCGCAGCTTCCATCGGTCGGTACGGTGTTCAACTCTACCCAGAATTTGATGCTATACGGAGAATCGAGCCAACGTTGAAGCAATGGGAGGGAGGAATGATGTGCACAGTGCTGACCCCCGGTCATACTTCTTTGAACTGTCAACGACTCGTGGTCGATTAGTCGATACTCGAGGCAGGATCATCATGCGACGTGACATGTACTGTAGGCGCGGTATACGCACAATACGTGTTAGCGGTAGTGTTGCGATGATGATATGTATTCCAAACTGCCCGTGAGTATAGTTACCATGCATGGTATTTTATGGGCAAGAGGAGAGTTGTTGGCGGAATGCGATGGAAAGACAATCTCCCGGCTTCAAAGCACCGGCCACCCATGACGAAGCTCCGAAACAACAACCACATGCACGAGCTCAACGTCGCCCTTTCGCCCTGTGTCATACCAATCCCACTCCACTCCACCACAACAACGACAATCTTCTGGTGTTTCCGCTGCAAATGCAACCGCAGCAGCCGTGAACGTGATGCRGAAGCGAACGTGTTGACAAGGATTCCTGGACGTCCACTCTACCTACTTTACGTATAATCGGGCTAGCTAGCCTATATGCAATCCGGAAGGCGGCGTGGTCGTAGACGACCATGACCTCCAGCAATGTCCGGACGAGCTCCGCCCACTCCACCGCCTCCACGCTGCGTCCGCGAACCAATCGTCTGATTTCGGGACTGAGCGACGTTGATGACACCTTATCTCCTTCTGCATACAACCTGGGATCTTCCAACTCCTCACAGAATGCTGCGCGTTCACCGTCGCCTTATAGAAGTCGGCCTGTCTCTCCCATTCCACCCGCGCATCCGCAGAGAACAGGCAGTCAGCGCAACAATGGTTATTTGAGCGCACCCCCGGTCAGAAATGCCGCGGGCAGACAAAGGAAGACGGGAGCGGATTCGACCTCTTCGCTTGCAGGATTGTGGGGGAACTCGTGGACGGCCTTGCAAGGAATCGCATCTGATTTGTTGGGAAGTAATCTTGCTGCAGCTGACTCCAACAACAAACCGCGAGCGAGGACGTCAGCGAGCAAGCCTCACAACTCGCGCTCTGCTTCAGCTGGAATCACGCCGAGTCAATGGGGTCCCTCCGCTCCGACATCTCCCCCTCGAGCCAAGGATATCGGGACAGGTACCCGAGAAGAGCAGACTGCTGCTTTTCGCGCGCAAAAGAGGAAGGACATGCTCACACGGCAGGAGAGCAGCTATGCCGATACACTGGGGAAGTTTAAGAGGCGACTTTCAGACGATCGCAATTCTGTCTCAGCGCCGCCGGGAGGAGAGGAGGATCGGGATGCGTTGGTGTATATCCATCATGTCAAGAAGGATGACACTCTGGCAGGCATTACAATCAGATACAACATTGCTGCTAACAGCCTGCGCAAAGCCAACAGGATGTGGCCGAATGATGCCGTACAGGCACGGCAGACGTTGATACTCCCTGTGGATGCATGTGGTGTAAAAGGCAAACTTGCCTCGGAGGCAGACTGGCCTGGTTCAGAGAGTGATGCCCTGTCGAGCTTGCAGGCCGAAGAGGTTCCAACTCCCACCGCAGACACGTTTGTGAATCTTCCGGTGAGCTCCAAACATGGAAGGACACGGACCAATTCCACTTCCACTTATACCACTTCTTCGGCTGCAGCTTCAAGTGCAGACATGGAACCGCCTTGGCAGCACGACTCCTGGGTGATCCTCCCTGGCAACTCTCAGCCCACACAAATCGCAAGGCTTCCCCGGAGAGCCCTGGGGTATTTTCCACCGGCACGTCGGAAAAGCAACAACTGGTCTGATCTCGACACACCGTCATCCTCACTTGATCTGGCACGTACAGGTACGCATGACAATAGCAATCCTACAAGTTCTCCACAACGACCTCGCCACACCCGGCGGACGAGCAATGCCACCACCGGCTACTTCCCCTCCTACCTCACCGGACCTGGCGGCGTGGGTACGATGAGTAGGAACGTCCGCTGTCCAGGTCCTGCTCAAGACGGCCTAAACAAGATGTTCGCCAAACATCTCCCAGATGTAGCACCGCCTCGAAATCAGAACGCACTCTATCAGCCAGAACTGCCGTTGTATACAGATCATCCCCAATCGCTCACCTCTGGCAGCCAGACTCCCGCTTACCCGCACTCTTCCTCTGGAAGTAGCATGAACTTGGAGAACGTGGGTGGCGCAATCGAGTCATGGGTTAGAAGGCTCGCGACCAAGACTGCGAGCTCGACAGATCGACAGCATGTTGCGAGGGCCTCAGTGGGGACTCCTGGGAAGGGAGCTGGAGGCATCGGAGATTTGATTGAGATGACTGACGAGTTTGAGATTGGCGGCGACGATGATGACGAGTTGGGTCGAGGAAGGCAGGGGTCTATACCTGATGGTGGGATGTATGGGACCAGTGGGACGAGCTATTCTGATGGTGGTGCGGTTCGAGAGAGGGGCAAGGGGGCGAAGAAGGACTGATAGATGGTGGATGAGTTGGAGTGGGTGCAAGCCTTGGGTCTATAGACGTTTGCCTCGTATGAGAGCACCTGGATGCAATCGCATCACAGCGATATTCCAAGCTACATTGGACAATAGTTGTAGACGAAGTCTGCAGGCGAGACCGATGGACTTGGCACACCTCTCCAGTATCTGCCTGAGCCGCGGCTCTGCTGAGCAATGATGAAGGAAGCCTCGCCAGCAGATGGAGATCACATCAACGAGTCCTCGTACACCATCGCCTCACTATACACGTCGCGAGTTCTCGAGTGACACATGACTATTGAGAAAGTGAACAAACAATAGGTGCTTCTACTTCGCTCTCGTTCTCGTGCTCCTCGGACAAAGGGTGTCACGAGGGGTAAATCCTGCGAGGTACAAAGCTTGAGATGTAGGTACCGTGMTGTTTATAAGAACGATGGATTAGTTGGTAGAGCATGTGTGTTTGTTGAAGAGCACCATCATATGCTAGTACAATTTAGTAGATGGTCTTCCATTTCCGCTGACATCCGCCGCAGTCTCCCAACATTCATCCGGCAAGCTCTCCGCTGGCTAGAAACCCCGTAGTTAGCTTTCCAACGACGTCACTGAAACAGCTCTCCCCATGTCCATCTTCTCCGCCTTAGCAACGACGCCTCCCAAGAAAAACCAAGAGAAGCACTGCCAGCTTCCATCCCAACACATCCCAACCCCAGCTTTACAGTATCTCACTCCTCCATTCACTCGCTCGCTCCGCATCAACGGTGCATGTCGTTTGATTGTCTCCTGAGAGCACCATCATCACAGCGCGACCACAATCTTTCGAATTCCACCACCTCCACATCCGCATCATCCGGCATGGGCGACGTGATGGCGCGGAAAGACCTCAAGTCGCTGGTCCCCCAGCCCAAATACTACAAAAAGGGACCGTTTACCGTCGAGGTTCCCGGCGCGAAAAAGGTCGAGGGCGAGACGATTCCCCGCCGCAACGTCAGAGTCAAGGATGGCCTCAAATCGACCCCGGATCCAGAGGTCAAGACCGTGTTTGATATTCTCAAGCGATCCAGCGCCAAATATGGCAACGCAAAGGCGCTCGGTAAGCGCAAGTTGATCCAGCTACACACGGAGAACAAGAAGGTCAAGAAGACGGTCGACGGCAAGGAGACGGAGGTGGACAAGAAGTGGACATACTACGAACTCAGCGACTACGAATACATGTCCTTTAGCGAGTACGAGCAGTTGGCCCTCAATGTCGGCTGTGGCCTGCGCGCCCTGGGCATGAAGGCGGAAGACCGAGTGCACTTGTTCGCCGCTACGCACCCTTACTGGCTGGCCGTCGCTCATGGAGCTCAATCGCAGAGCATGCCCATCGTCACCGCATACGACACTCTTGGGGAGGAGGGATTGAAGCATTCCCTTTTGCAGACCCACGCCAAAGCAATCTACCTCGACCCACACCTCCTCACCAAGCTGATCAACCCGTTGAAGGAGGCCAAGGACATTCAGCACGTYATCTTCAACGATGATGATTTCCCCACAAAGGTCAACGATGCTGCTGCTACGGAGAGGGATGTGAAGAAGCTGAAGGAAGCTCACCCGCACTTGACCGTCATCAGCTTCTCCGATTTCATCAAGAAGGGTGAGGAGAACCGCGTGGGTCCAGTCCCACCTAAGCCCGAAGATCTGGCTTGCATCATGTACACCTCGGGATCTACCGGCACTCCCAAGGGTGTCTTGTTGACCCACAAGAATGTCATTGCTGCTGTTGCCGGTGTGGACATTGTTGTCGGCGACTACCTCGGACCAGGCGACGGTCTCTTGACCTATCTCCCCCTCGCGCACATTCTCGAGTTCGTCTTTGAGAATGCCTGCCTCTACTGGGGTGGTACCATGGGTTACGGCAACCCCAAGACCATTTCCGACGCCTCGATGCGAAACTGTAAGGGTGACATCGCAACCTTCAAGCCCACCATTCTTGTTGGAGTCCCCGCCGTCTGGGAGACTGTCAAGAAGGGTGTGCAAGCTAAGGTGGCCAAGATGAACCCAATCGTCCGCAACATGTTCTGGGGAGCCATGACCGCCAAGTCATTCATGATGGACAACTCCAACTTCCTCCCACTCGCCGGTCTTGGAACCAGCATTGTGGACAATGTCGTCTTCAAGAAGGTGGCCGAGGCTACCGGTGGCAGACTGCGAATCTGCTTGAACGGTGGTGGTCCGGTCGCCAAGGAGACTCAGCGCTTCATTTCCATGTGCATCGCTCCTATGATTTCCGGGTACGGTCTCACCGAGACAGGAGCCATGGGCGCCATCATGGACCCTCTCTCATGGACCGACAGCGCTCTGGGAGAAATCCCCGGCTCGATTGAGATGAAGCTTGTGGATTTCGCCGACGYAGGATACTACTCCACCAACAAGCCTCCACAAGGAGAAATCTGGATCCGTGGTGACGCCGTCACTTCTGGCTACCTCGACCTCCCCAAGGAGAATGAAGAGGCCTTCCAGGACGGCTGGTTCAAGACTGGAGACATTGGTGAATTCAACTCGAACGGTGAATTGAGAATTATCGATCGCAAGAAGAACTTGGTCAAGACGCTGAACGGAGAGTACATTGCGCTTGAGAAGTTGGAGTCTGTGTACAGATCTACGACTGTTGTGGGCAACATTTGCGTGTATGCGGCGCAGGACCAGAACAAGCCCATTGCGATTGTCGTCCCTGCGGAGCCTGCTTTGAAGCAGCTTGCAAAGGATAACGGAGTTGATGGAAATGGATTGGAGGATCTGTGTCATGATAAGAAGGTCAACGAGGTTGTTTTGCAGGAGTTGCAGGCTGCAGGAAAGAAGGGTGGTCTTGCGCCTTTTGAGATTGTGACTGGCGTCGTGCTTGCCGATGAGGAGTGGACGCCGCACAATGTGAGTTGCTGTGTTCCACTAATGTTGTAAAGGTCAAGGCTAACATGGTTACAGGGTCTCACGACATCTGCACAGAAGCTTCAGCGTAAAGCTATCATGGAGAAGTATCAGAAGGACATTGACACGGCGTATGGAAAGTAGATGCTGGTAGGGGATACATTGAGACGACGGTATGAAGGATATGGTGTACAAGCGAGCGTGCGTTGTGCTTTCTTTCCTCTCTGGAATTCTGACGAGGGTTTGTGGATGATGATGGTATATTGGAGGGGATTGTGGTGATTGATTGTTGTTATACCTAGGAATGCTTTATGTTAATGTTGTTGTTTGTCGATTCTAGACGTTGCTCAACCATGAGTGGCAATACTACTGTCCGTGTCAAGCTCCTTTCCCCGTATCATCGTTATTCCCAGGGCTACATCACAAGCTCTCTGTTTCCCTTTCACGATTTGCCGCAAGTGCCTATTCTGTTGTGCGGACCGGACTGCGATCTGGATCTAAAGCCGGGAATAATATGCGGGAATAATGTCCCATGGCGGGGTGAACGAATGAGCTGGCGACGATTTGTACCCACTTTGGTGACCGAGGATGGGGCATGCAGGTTGAACGTGGACGTTGACGGCATCGTGCTTCTTTGGACGGGAAATACCTATCCTTTTAGACCAGGTGTGTGTGGGAGCGGTTGGTATACTGTTTGATCTGTCCTTTTCCTCCACCTCTCTCTGCTTTTCCCTCTCTTCACTCACCTTGCCACTGGACTGGACTGCAAGAAAGACGTACAACCTCTAGCAACAGCAGCCATTGAAGAACAGCTCTCAAAGACGAATTGATACAGAGCATTTCATTCACAATGGCTCAACGAGCAGCATTCCACTGTCTCCGCCAAACCTCCTCCCCCTTCCAATCCTCGCCTTCAACTCTCCTCCGCAACTCCAACCCAACATGGCTCCGAACAAAACGAACCCCCAACATCTCCTCCGTTAAAACCCAACATAGAACCCTCCTAACCCAAGCCCAACGCCGCCGAGCCACAACAGCCGCAGGAACAGCCATACCCACAACCTCCCAACCCATAATCGACCACCACTACGACGCAATAGTAGTAGGAGCCGGCGGCGCCGGTCTACGAGCAGCCGTAGGCCTCGCAGAATCCGGGCTAGAAACAGCCTGCATAACCAAACTCTTCCCGACTCGCTCCCACACCGTTGCCGCTCAAGGTGGAATCAATGCTGCGCTGGGGAATATGACCGAGGATGACTGGAGATGGCATATGTATGATACTGTCAAAGGGAGCGATTGGTTGGGCGATCAGGATGCGATTCATTACATGTGTAGGGAAGCGCCTAAAGCTGTGTATGAATTGGAGAATTACGGAATGGCGTTTAGTAGGACGGAGGATGGGAGGATTTATCAGAGGGCGTTGGGGGGTCAGAGTTTGAAGTATGGGAAGGGAGGGCAGGGGGTTAGATGTTGTTCTGCGGCGGATCGGACGGGGCATGCTATGTTGCATACTTTGTATGRGCAGAGTGTCAAGGTAAGTCTTTTGATCTTTGATGTTCTGTGGGACTTTGCTAATTTCTTGAACAGCATAATACCAATTTCTTCATTGAGTATTTCTGTATTGATTTGCTGATGGTTGATGGAGCCTGCGTGGGAGTGCTGTGTATGAGCATGGAAGATGGGACATTACACAGGGTGTTTGCGAGGAATACGGTTCTTGCTACTGGTGGTTATGGTCGGACATATTTCTCTTGCACATCTGCGCATACATCGACTGGAGATGGAAATGTACGTCCCCTCTCCCTTTCTCAACACACACGCTGACGTTCTACTTACTAGGCCATGGCTGCTCGGGCAGGTCTCCCCAACCAAGACTTTGAATTCATCCAATTCCACCCCACAGGAATATACGGTGCAGGAGTCCTCATTACTGAAGGATCTCGTKGTGAAGGTGGCTACCTACTCAACTCGAATGGAGAACGATTCATGGAACGCTATGCTCCCACAGCCAAGGATCTCGCTTCACGCGATGTTGTTTCCCGCTCTATGAATATGGAAATCCGAGAAGGTCGCGGTGTTGGACCGGATAAAGATCACGTCTACCTGCAACTGTCTCATCTCCCTCCAGACTTGATCTACGAGCGATTGCCGGGAATTGCAGAGACGGCCTCTGTGTTCTCTGGGGTGGACGTCACGAAAGATCCTATCCCCGTGCTGCCTACAGTCCATTACTGCATGGGTGGCGTTCCTACAAACTGGAAGGGAGAAGTCCTCAACGTCGACCCCGTCACTGGAGCCGAGAAGCCTGTCGAGGGACTGTACGCAGCTGGAGAAGTAGCCTGCGTGAGCGTCCACGGAGCCAACCGTCTAGGAGCAAACTCCCTCTTGGACATTGTAGTCTTCGGCCGTGCCTGCGCGTTGGAAATCGCGGATAAAAACGAAAAGGGAATGCCTCATAAAAAAGTCCCCGAAGACATCGGAATGGATCACCTAGCTGAGATGGAGAAGATCCGAGAATCGAATGGCGATATGCTCGGCGCACAAATCCGCAGCGACATGCAAAAAGTCATGCAAGCTGACATCTCCGTCTTCCGCACCGAAGAAGCTCTCGAGCAAGGAAACAAGCGATTGGAAAAAGTCCAGAAGGATTTCAATGAGCGGTTGGCTGTCAAGGACAAGTCGATGATTTGGAACTCGGATTTGGTGGAGACGTTGGAGATGAGGAATTTGTTGACTTGTGCGGCGCAGACTGCTAAGAGTGCGTTGGTGAGGAAGGAGAGTCGGGGTAGTCATGCGAGAGAGGATTTCCCGGAGAGGAATGATAAGGAGTGGATGAAGCATACGCTGTCTTGGCAGAAGGATATTGGGGATGATGTTCAGATTGGGTATAGGAAGGTTGTGTTGGATACGTTGGACAAGGCGGAGATGGAGAGTATTCCGCCTGTTAAGAGGACTTATTAGATGTAGAGCAAGAGAGGGGGGAAGAAGGGAGGGGAGAAGCAACATGAGTCTTGTCTGACGTGTTGGAGTTTCGCCTACGTGATGATGGTATGTTCTGTTTCCTTCGCTTAAAGTATTCCATCGTTGATTCATATTGGTAGGAATGAAGACAAAAGAGGAGAAAGCTGAGCGGAGCATACTTCCATATTCTCCCTCTTCAACATCATAAGGGTCTTGGTCGAGTACATTCCGACAGACCAACAAAACGAGAGTCACAAGTAGTGAATTTTGCTCCTCGAGATTGACCGTAGCAAGTTCAAGTGCTTTTAATCGTTCTTGAGTATTATTGATTCTACAGCACAACAGCTTATGCCCAGCATTTCCAAGATTTCTTGGCCGCTCGCATATCAATCGAAGAACGATAAGCAGGACCCAGACCTTATCTCTCCATACTACTGCACGCAGTCGCCTATGCCCCAAGCCAAAAATGCTGCGAGACGAGGACCTTTCTTGGAATGTGGCTGTGATACCTATCTCTGGGCATGGATCAGATGTATCTATAAGCCATCTACCTGTCCACACAGCCGACTCTACTTCTACTCCCCTGAGATAAATTCGACATAACCGTCTACGGAGACTAGGTACTCCAGCACAGCAACTACAATGAGTGAAATTGCTCAAATCAGCGAGTGGCCCGCATGGAACGACAATCCGAATGGAGGAGATCCTCTAACTCAGGACTTGACTTCGCCATACGATAAAGGCGATTYATGTTGGCTGGCAGTCTGCACCATTCTGTGCTGGCAAATCACACCAGTGAGTTCCCCCAACTGGAACAATTCGCTCAAATCACCCTGCTGACATGACAGTTGACAACTCCATCACAGGCCATCGGATTCCTCTATGCCGGAATGCACAGACGTAAAGCAGCCTTAACAATGGTCTTTCAATCGCTCTTCTGCGCCTGTGCCTGTGGGATTCAATTTTGGGTTTACGGGTATTCTCTCTATCAAGTTCGTTATTCCCTCTTCTCCTCCACGTCAAGACCTACCTCCCACTCACATCCACACAGTCCCGCACGACGAACCACTTTCTTGGAAACATGTCTCTAGCAGGCCTGCATAATGTTTTAGCACAGCCCTCATTGGCAAATTCAGATATCCCTGATCTGCTCTACGCCTGTTTCGGCTTCACATTCGTCACTGCAACAGCCATGATTCTCGCAGGCGCTATGCTCGAGAGAGGAAGATTATTCCCCAGCATGTTATTTTTGCTCTGCTGGACGACATTCGTGTATTATGTGTTGGCGTACTGGGAATGGAATCCCAATGGTTGGCTGTTGAAACTTGGCATTCTTGACTTTGCAGGTAAATTCGTAGTCGCTCCCAACCCCTTTCAATCTTGCAAGTTACTGATCAAAGGATTTTTTTTTTTTTTTGCACAGGTTCCGGACCTATACATATAGCCAGTGGATTTTCTGCTTTGGCATGGTCAATGATGTTGGGTCCGAGAATCTCAGAGACTACCATGACCGATCGTAGGAAGATTGTGCACCATAAACCCCACAACCCCTTTCTCGTTGGCTTGGGCACGGTTTTCATCTGGTTTGGCTGGTTCGCTTTCAACGGTGCCTCCACTGCAAATCTCAGCTTGAGATCCATTTACGTGATGATCAATACGAGTACGTCAACCTTCATATCTCTTAACAATATTTCGAGTCTACTGACCCATTGAACCTCCTCTTAGACCTCGCAGCCTGCGGTGGCGGTATAACATGGTCTCTCCTCGAATACTTCCACACAGGCAAATTCTCCATCATAGGTTTCTGCTCCGGCATCATCTCTGGTTTAGTAGGCATCACACCCGCCGCAGGCTTCACACACCCATCTACGTGGCAGTTCTTATTGGCTTCTTAACAGCCCTTTGCTGTTTCTACACCAATAAATACAAATACCTCCTTTCCTCCCTCAAGTCGACATGAGTTCCACCCACATCTGCAAGACAAGCAAACGGTCAGTACATCAACCCCAAGTGACAATGATTTCCTCAACAACTTACTCTTCCAGAGCCACCACCAGCCGCTTCATTCTCCACCTTGTAAATCGCCGCAGGCCTCGCCATTTCCCCATGCAACAAGGCAATTAATTGGCTCAAAGGAAACGATCAGAGTAGCATAGATCGGACCATGGCGCGTGAGCGTCCGATAGACAGCAGCCTGATCAATCTCCTCACGCATGGACGCGGCGGCAAGCTCGCTCCAAAGTCCATCGACTTGCATCGTGGTGCAGGGGATGGAGATCTTGACGTGCTTCATCAAGTCCACGTGCGTCTGAGGCATTTTGGCGATCCACTTGGTGACGTCTGTCACTCCTTGGTGGGAGAAGACGCGGGCGTCCCAATTCGGATCTTGGACGTGGAATGTGGTGCGGCTGTAGTATTTTTCTGCGAACTTGGCGCGTGTCTTGCGGCTCATTTGCAGGAGCATTGGTGGTTTGTAGGAATTTTTGATGATGACGGTGCCGGGGAGGAGGTGCTCTAGTGTGAGCTCGAAGATGTCGTCTTGCAGCTCTTGCGGAAGCCCCTTGATGTGCGCGCTGAGGTCCATGGTGGCTGTACTGAGGAGGTTTGATGGCTGTTGGTGTTGCTGTTGTGAGGGAGATGGAAGCTGAAGTAAAGCTAGAGTCCAGGAGGTGCAGCAACAAGAAGATAGATTAAAAAAAAAACAGCCTAATGATCGCCAGATTGTCGACTTGATCATCAATCTGATCCTCGAGCTTGGGCTCAGATCACTACTCGTCCGCTGGTGCGTATGGCTTTGCTCACCTATCGAATGGGCGGCTCCTTGATGATTCCTCAAGCCGAATTCAGCAAGCAGTACTCTCCTAGATGATGGATTGAACAGCTTCTGTAGGCCAGCGAGAAAGAATTAGAGGAGATGATGGCGTGGAAGGCCACTCTTGAAAAGTAGGCCTTCCCGTAAGTACTACTCCTTCCTCGTTGAAACTGCTCATACGACTCTTTGGCGCCCTATTCTTCTCTGCTTCACCCATTCACCTTCTCCTCAACACCTTCGATCTCGACGACCTAGGCTCCACCTCTAGATTCCTCTATTCCTTCCACCACCACCACGGTGACCTTTTGACCTCACTGAATACATCCCAACAAGTCTCCGCCGAACAGACAGCCAGCAGAGGACCTATCTCAATCCAGCCCTCCAACCCTCCAACCCGGTACCAACCCCGATCCGTTCATCGAACCTCGTACTGGACTTCACCGGCCCCAACATGCTCCGACGACAATCCTCCAGACTGTTCAACCAACGACGCAGAAGCACCAAGTTCCTGGAATCACGGCGCTTAACATGGCAGCCAAACACAGGGGCTTGAAAATCTATCTCGCACCAATCCTTAGCTTCTGCGAATTTGCAGCGGAAAGTGCGGTCGAGTTGAAGAGCGGATGGGGGAATTGTAGGTTGGAATGATGAAAATTCTGGGCAGCATGGAAGTACCTCCTGCAGAGGTGTGGAATTTCAAAAGGAAGCACTTTGTGTACTGTAGTCGAGAATCATATCGAAGAGCTCTTGAGGGAGGTCGTGAGATCCTTGAATTCAAAAATCATGCCGTGGCATCGATGTCACTCATAGAGGATATGCTCTCAGGGGTCATATTCTTCGGACAGCATGGTCGGAGGCACTTTTAGGCGTTGAAAGAGTGGGAAACYGATAGAAGTGGAAAATGAATGCAAGGACTTGTCACCGTAAAACACAACATGTAGATTCGTGCTCCGCATGAAGAGGATACTTATGATGGTAGCTTTCTTGCTATCCGTGGCAGCAAGCAAGCTAGGACGACTCATCTCCAAGTTCAAAGAAAATTCAGCAATATAAGGAATTGAATTGAAGGACGGAATTTAAATGAAGACGAAATGTATTTTCCTCGCTGTGCTTGATTAAGAATGGATGCTAACGATGGAAACGACCGACGGAATAAAAAGGAGGTGGCTGGCACGCATTAACAAGCGTCTTTCCATCGAATGCCCTTACTGCCGATATAGTGTAGCAAGTACCCTACATGTAGTGTATTTCTTACGTCGAAACTTGTTGAGGATCTGTCTGAGCCTTGGTTACGTGTTTCCATTCGATATTAATGGCACGATCAGGATTATGCAGAAATGTCTTCCATAAATCTCGTCTGGCCGGACTGATACTCCTCCACACACATCACCTACAACGTTTTCCGTGCTTCTCTTCGCCATCCGAATGCATCGTATTATCACGAACGCCTTGAAAGTGAACGCCAGCCTTTGACTGTCGCACGGGGGGGGAACAGCAGCATCAGCATCAACGCACGATATCCACCCCGACAACAAATCAGCATTCCCCCACAACAATAGAACAAACTAGACTTTGCAACGCACCATTCAACAAGCACAATAACACAATTCCAACAGCACAACCTTCCAGCCAAACGTCAGCACTCAAATCCGTGGGGATCCAGAAAGCTGCTCAAGTCTGCACAAACCATGACAACAACCCTCCAAACCCGCCTAAGGTCGATTGGATAATGGACAATGGATACTGCCAAACCAAGCGGCTCTCCACAGCATCAAGTTCCACAAGAAACAGTCTCGGAATCTTCCAAAAGCAATGCTTACTATATATACTAGTATACTTCAGCTTTGGATCCGCCTAACGTTAGAGCTTTCCGGGTCCTCGATTTAAAGCCTTCGTTGCGCTTTCATCTCCATCAGCAAAAAATGTTCAACATGATCGATTATCCACAATTCGAGAGACTTGAGGACTTGGGTTTTGAATCGCTGTGGGAGTGAGATGCAGTATATATCTGACGTACCCGCAAGGACGCTGCCTATGTGTCCTTTCTTCGCTACTTGCCAAAGGCTTTCAGATCAGGTAGCCTGAATATATGGGATCTGCATACAATAGGGAGAAGAAAGGGGAAGATGAGCGTGGGGTTGGCAATAGATAGCCTCCAGCGTCAACGTTATTCTAGCCGGGACAATGAGATGAAGATGGTGCACACTCGTAATGGATTCGGTCATTCATCACTCACTACATACTGACAGGCCTCCGCTCTTAAAGCCAGCCTGACTTCACGCCATTCCTCCACATCTACCGCCATGCTCGTGGATGCCCCGTGGGATGCCCTCATCAGTGCGCAGGTAATGCGCACCTCCGTCGCCGCCGCCAGACAACAAAAATTTGCTCACTTCCGTGAACTGTTCATCGCTTCGTATATACACATAACTTCGCTTGCAAAAGTGACCGCGCAAAAGTTGAGAGAGTCGTATTCCCTTTCCGCAGAAAGGTTCTGTTGTAATCACCAAAAAAGAGCATCCTCGATCTCGAATTAACTTCATCACCTCCGAGTGCCGGCTTCGAGCTCGCTCGCTGTGACAGTGGTTTCCTCGACAGCACCGTGCGGCGTAGTAGCCTGCGGCTGAGATGTGCCTCGTGTGAAGCGTGGCATTGTAGGTAGCCTGGATCGCCATGTTCGGGCGGGTTGCTGAGATGCAGTCTCCGTAGATGTCGGCTGCGTGGCGGTAGTTCCTTGTGCTTGTTGTGTGGCTGGCGAGGCGAAGAATGTCCGATCGGTCAATGAATCGCTGGCGTAGAATCCTCGGTGAGCAAACAGCATGCGTGGTGGTCTGAAAACAACACCTCTGCTGGATATCCACGCCGTCTGGGGAGGGTTGGGCATGCCGCGGCCAGGTCTTCGCGCGCCATCCTGAACATCCTCTCCTGCTGGTCTGGGTTTTGGGACATAGTAGTCGGCTTTGCAGAGTGGGCAGCATGCCCTTCTACTCGTCAGCCATGGGTCGACACAGGATCCGTGGAAAGCATGGCCGCAGGTGAGACCTCGCACATCGTCCTCATCATCAAGAGTGTCGAGACAGATCGCACAAGAGTCGCCAGGCGCTCCCAGCATCTCAGGAGGGGCAGCGGTCCGGATGGGATCATCCTCATCCTCATCAGCATCAGCATCAGTCGTTAGCGAGTCTTGCCTCCTTTCAGCAACCGGTGTTTCCGCAACCTCGAGTGTTTCCACAGTGCCGGCCTTGTCTGTCTTGTCTCCCWCCGTCACAGCAGGTGCCACATCCGACGGCCGTCCATCCGCAATCGCATTGGCGTGATCCTCGCGTGCCATACTCAGCACAGTCTGTGGCCGTGCAGACTCGGCCGAGTGTTTTCCCAGGTCCACGGTCGAGTCATTTCCAATACCATCAGTCTCGCCATCCACATTCCTCACGCTCGGCGCACGACTCGGCGGCGCCGTGACACCACCCACGGCAGGGAGGCCCTCGGCTTCACGTCTCGACCGCCAGACCTTGTACTTGGTCAATGGAAAGCGCTCATTCACATCCTCCATGGACATGAGCTTCTTCTCCTTCCGCCGGCGGCGCTGATGCTGCATCGTGGCGAGGTCGATGGGTTCTCCATTCTCGTTGAGAGTGCGCGCAGCTCGACTGCGCTGGTTGTATCGAAAGCAGTACTTGACGCCGACAATGATCCTGCGCGTGACGTGCGGTTAGCCTAGTGCGACCAGGGCCTACTAGGGCAGGTACGACGCTGTGTGCGGGACAAATGCGGCAAGTGAAGACCATGGTTGTGGGAATATTAGGCAGGTACATACCAGAGATTCGTGAAGACGACACCAAAGCCCAGGGCGACGAAGAAGAGCAGAGGGGAGTTGGTCGGGCTGTTTCCTCCTCCATCCTTGCCTCCTGTAGGTGTGGCCGTGGGCGCGCTCGTGGCGCTGGCCGTGGTCGACATTGTGGGGCAGCGGTGGCGGCGGAGGGTGAGAGGCGGCGACGTTGGAGATGCTTGGTCGCAATCAATCAATGCAAAGAGGGATGCGCTGCCATGTGACGGCGACAGCGACAGCGACACCGGCGTGCTCTTGAACCGCTCGATGATGTGTCGATAAAGAAGGATGTCTTGCTTGGAGCTAGCGTGGCGATGAACTAGCGGCGGGACGTGTGGGTCCTTGGTGCGGAGTTTGAGTCAGGCTGGCGCGGGAATCCGGCCAAGTCACTTCCAAGGTTCCTCTGGGGAACTCGATTAGGACAACAAAGGTGCGGTGGTGTGTGAAGGTTCCAAAGCCACGCGACGGTGAACACACGCTCGGGATCTGATCGGCAAGTCGGGCAGCGTGATAAATCTCGTTGTCTTCACATCTGTTATTTGTGGACGAGGAGGCTATTGGCAATGAGTCGTGGACCGCGTAGCCATCACAGATGATCAATGATCAGGAGACACCAAGAGGCGGGCCTGGGCGAGTCCTCGGCGACGACGACGACGACTTTCTGGGCACTACGGCGCACAGATGTATGTATGTACATGGTGCTTCACTCCACTTATCACAGCAGAGCCGCGAATCTCGGTTCGAGCGGCTCTCGAGATTTGGGGATGACGAGTCTATGAGGCTTAGGGTTGGGGTTGGGGTTGGGGTAGTGACATCTCACGTTGCAGGAACGCAAGCCATGTGGTTGACATGCTTACTGGAACGTATCAAGACAATCGCCGAGATATTGAAAACGTCTCACGACGTGATGAGGTGTCATCCTGCGGCTACATACCTATGCTAGCATGGAAGTGGTTTTATATTCACCTCGTTTCACGTTCCATGTAAATCTGATGCATCATCCTTCGTTTGCGTACTGCTACATCCATGGCTACGTCCATGTCCGTCTGCGTCGGATGGTAGTCTCATTATCTCTCATCTGTCATGATCTAATCCTCATCTCCTCGTGACACTCAATGCGACAACAAGACCTGCCCCATTCTACAATCGCAAACCTCCATCATCATCAGCCCATCAAACGTTCCCAAACACCTCGCTAACAAGTCAAACCTACACATGATCCCATCACGACGAAGCCTTCAACGTCCCACAAACCGAGCAAGTCCACCACTTATGCTCCATGAACGTACCGCAACGACACTTCCATCCCAGACTCTCGTCGCGTACAGAAGGCTTGCTCTCCGCTTTCTGACTCTGTCTTGGTACGACATGTGAAGCGACTGGCTTCTGTTTGGGCGGCTGCGCTTTCAACAGCACAGCTTGGGACCGCTCAACACCGCACGCATCGCAGGCGAGGAACTGCAACGGGTTGATGCAAGTGCATACCTCGCATGCCCATTCGTTTCCTGGAGCAGACGCAGGGATGGAGGTCGTTGGTTTTACGTTAGAGTCGATGGTCCCTTCCATGATGCGTTTCTGCTTGGGTGGATGGACAGGTGCAGGACTTGATATCGATCGGCTTGAGGTGCGCTTGCGTTTGCTGAACGTGTCTTGCTCATGGTCTTGTATGTCATTCGTAGGGGTGATTGCCCGACCAAGGTTCCTCGCCTCGACAGCACCTTCATCACCGTCAGGTGATACAGTGCGTTCGTGGTCCTCAGATTGTATATGGCGGCCTGGCAGCGCTTGCTTGGCCCCGTCATCCAGCGCTGAAGACTCACCAGCGCATCGTACACTATCCTCCATAGCCCACTTCATCTGCTCCTCCTCGCTGGGATGATCATGACGGCCGTTCAATGTTGGCCGGCTTGGTGCAGCGTCGTACAGCCCGTTCTTCGCACTCCAGGATAATCCGCTGCCAATTGATGATCCTTCAAAGGATTTCTTGAGCTTCTGATCCTCCTCCTGCTCCATCAACTCCTGAAGTGCTTTCGCGATGGCCAAGTTGTTGGCGTCATCTTCTTCAGCCTTGGTCTTGAAAGCACTGCTCTCCGCTTGTTGAGACAGCTCAATGGCATTGTGAGATCCAGAAGCACAACCAGAACTGATTGCTTTCCGTCTAATCGCCTGGTCGGCCATGACTCGGCGTATGTCTGGTCCTTGGAGATGGACAGGCGTGCCTCCCAGCTTCTGTCCGCTGCCGCTGAAGAGAGCGCCTTGCGCCCTCCGCTTTTCTGCGTTGACACGGGCAATCTCTCGCATTTCATGTGGAGGTGGCACGCGACCGCTGGACCCTCCCAGCTTCTTACCTTCTGACAAGAAACCTTCGCCAGTGTATCCGTTGCGTACCAGAACTTCGTACTCATCGCGAAGCTCTTCCCATAGTTTGTGGAAGTCGGAGTCGTGAGGGCCCTGCAGTGCGGCGTTAGCATATACATGCATACCTCGATGAACGATATTCACACCCAAATGTTGTGGCAAAGCTCATGTAGCAAAGTGTCAACTACCTCCTCAAATGGTAGAAACAGATCGTGGTTGTGGTGATATCTCAATCGAATGCAGATCTTGTAGCCCTTGTTAATATTCAATCCGAGCAAATTCTGCTCCGGAGGAAGGAACTCGGCCAACACCTTGACACGCCAGCAGTGTTTCTGCATGATGGGCTTGACCAGAGAAGACGCTTTCCTCAACATCAGCAAGGCCGCATCGCCTCGTTCCTGTCCCGCTAGATGCTCATAGGTGGAGAAGAGTGGCTCATGCTCTTTGAGCTGCATGGCTGTGGAGCGCTGGACGCCACTGGGACCTCCCTTAGAGGAACCCTTGTTGTGTCCGCGATATCCTGGGCCATCATATGGATTGCCGAGTGGGCCACCATAGGGATGGCCGGCCATGGCGGAAGGGCGAAGTGTGTATTGAAGGGGATCGAGAGCTGTTATCTTCCAGCCCAATCTTTGTATTTGGTCGATAACGCGTTCTCCCCAGCGAGGCCACGTCAGTGCAATGCGCGCGTCGAATGATTTGGCTGGCAGGTGATTGTCTTTGTCAGGAGAGAAGATGAAAGAGGCGTGGCGAATCCACTCGAGGGGCCGCGTAACGAAGACTTTCAGATGTCGCGAACCTGAGATCGCAATAATCTCGACGATTGCATGCGATCAAATGGGACTTACTGTAGGTCAGATGTATCAACAGATCCGCATGGTGGCGACGAAATTCCATCAGGCGTGTTGTGCTGTCGAGATAAAATGGTCTGCGAGGTTGAAGTATACGAGGTCGCGTCTTCTCACTGCAACTAGTTCTAGCGCGAGCAATACTTTTATCCTAGGCAGGTAGGTAACAACTGCTACGAAGTACCTTACCTCCTATGCAGTTGAACTTTGGTTATAACTTGCAACAATGATCCAGCAAACATGCGGCAGAAAGGCTGTCCGGGATTCTATAACTATGTACATCCCCAGGCTTGAAGTCCCAAACTACTTTCCACATTTCTCCTTATTTGAGCACATACATGCGGAGAGACATGGCGAGTGAATCTCCTAACCCAAAAATCACGGAGGTGTAATCGACCTAATGGCGCCCAAGCAATAGCAGCGTCATCGTTCATCCTGTATCTTGTCATCGAGATGCCTGTCGCAAGACTCCGACGTGAACAACAAAGCCACTGCCAGTCTTCAGCCCTGTCGAGAGTAAGTCGTTGGGCACTCGCCATATCCGAAATGCTCGATGGAAAGCCTCAAGCCACTGCTCGAACACATCCGGCTGTCGCAGTTGCTGTGCGATAACGAACAAGGTGGTCTGGCCTGGAGATTCGCCGTCTTCGCATAGACGCATTTTGCCAATGTCTTCGCAACACTGCACCTAAAAGCGGAGGGTAGTAGGGTTAGCAATGCGTTGGAGAATCCTGGTATGAGGCTCATCGTAACAAAATAGCCATGTCGAACTACTCTGCATGTCTTTCCCCCTGCGATTTACTTACCAGCGGATCAATCAACGCATAGTTGTATACGCAGTCGCAGGCTAGAACCAGGTCTAGGCCAGATTCCAGCCCATTTGCACGAAGTACGCTGGCGACATCGTCGCTTTCCCAATCCAATGCAAAGGCTTCAATGTTGCTTTGCGGCATTGGGACATCTGAAGGCGTGTTCTTGCTTGACTTGCGTTTCTGCTTCGAAGCTGGGCCGGCTGTGTTGGCAGCGATGTTGGCTTGCAATGCTTTCATCACATACGCCTGATCAGTCGCGACCACTTTCCGAACCCTTGGAGCTACGATCAATGGCACAAGACCGGAGATACCTGCCCCTAGCTCAATCACACTTTTGATGGAATCTGAGGCGAACAGTGGATTTTGCGGCCAGGCCATCCATTCCGCAAGCAGTACTGAACTTTTCCATACGGCAGCACCGGTGGTCCCGCCACCTCGTGCTGATTGTAGTATTCCTGGAGATTGCGAGAGCTCAAAGTCTCGCCCGGCGATAGAAATCTCAAGGAGGGGGGCTTTTGGATCGACCATCCCTAGGTCTTGAGAGACAGCGGGCTGAGAAAAGATGTCGAAAGTCTCTGTACTTACATGTTACTTGTGGTTCTTGCCTGGCGTGGACAGCTCATGTTGCTGACCTTCGTCGACATCCTCGATCTCGTTTCCGAGCTTTGCAAGGACCGAGTCCATAGCAAGGACCTAATTAGACGAGTTGGTGGCTTGCCGATTGTTGATGTGAGATGACAGCTCCACACGAGGGGGGAACCGAGWGGTGTTCTTGCCTCAAGCAGTTTAGTGCCCCGAGCCTAGGGTCGATCAACGGACGGCGGCATGCGAGGGTGAGCGTCACAAATCGTCCTCTTCCACGGCCATCGTGGTATGAAATGGCAATACTGCAACACCTGCTATTTCGTGCCTGATCGGTAAGTGTGCGTGAATCCTCCGCTCCTCTTCCTCTTCGTTGTCCGCACCCTTCACCGTCTCGAAAGCCAGGGATCCCTTCAGATCCCGGGGTGAAGTGGAAGTTAGAAAGTCACCACCACGTTCTCGCCCGCATCTAGACGCGCCTACACACGTTCGCAAGCCACGCCGGTCCACCGAACGTCCAAGCAGATTTTTTCCCGTCAATGGACACCTACCCGTACCGGTGCATGTGCCGTATGCGCAACCCCTAGCTTGCTAAGAGTGGACCGACTTCACTTCTGTCACACTGAGGATACTACATCTACCCACCAAAAGCCGAACCGCATCTCGGAAGCACTGGAGGTTGAGTGTGAATGAGAGACGGCGGAGGCTTGGAGGGGGGTGGGTCATCACTTTAAAGTTGCACACGGGGACGGTGTGGTAAAAACATCAGCGTCAGAATTGGAGGACTACATCGAGGACAACCATGTCCCGGGCTCGTGTTGTATTCGACAACATGCCTGCGCAAGCGCTGTCGGACGTGGCCGAGGATGAAGGCAGCAATGGCGGTGACTACTTCGCGACCGACGAAAACGACAACGAAGGTGACGGCGGGTTTGACGATGGAGAGACACTTTCACCCTTCTCATACTCACGGCGAAGAGCTTCGATGCAAATCCGCATTCCTCCAAGCCACGCCAAAGCAGACATGGCTTTCGCTGCTCTGCAATACCTTCCCATGCCCGTGATGGTGCTCTCCTCCATGAAGACGGTCGTTCTGGCCAACGAAGCCATGGGCCGACTCTTGGGAATCGACTACGATGCTGAAATGGCCCAGAACCCAGACAACAACGCATTGGACACCGTGCTTAGCCACGAATCGAGGAGTCCGACTGACCTTCTCTACGGACAAAGTCTTGCTCGGCTGGGTCTGGACTTGCTCCAGGGTGGAAGTGCGGTCATGGTATCGTGGGAAAGCTTCCTTGACTCGCTCATTACCGACGCGGCCCAAACGCAGAAGAAGTCTGCGCAGGCTGGCACACAGTACGCGGACCGCAATGAAGAGGAGGACATGACACCCACGGGCAGTGTCCACCGCCGGTCAACTTCATCCATGGAGTCGGAAGCGAGTGTAGACGGATCGCGGACCATGGTCCATGATGCAGTCATGGATGTGGTGTTTAGTACTAACAGAGACCCTCGAACCGGCCTGCCCATAATGTCGCGATCGAGCAAACTTGATCATATCCAGTCTCAGATGATATGCTCAGTTTGGAGCACCGGGCCTGGCGAAGACGAGCAGTTCTTCACGCTCACTTTCACAGCCGCAACTTCCGACGGATCTTCGACCTCGTCGTCTTCAGCATCTACCAAAGCCACCAGCAGGACAGTATCTCGCTCTGCGACCGCATACTCAAACAACAGTGCACGTAGTGGCGGCCAAAGCTCGACAAGCTCGGCATCTAGTTCGCGTTCAGATCTTCGAAGATCCAATGCGCAAAGTCCGCCAGCGACAGTGACATTCCACAGCCCTTCAACCCAGCAGATGACGCCGTTCCCTCCCCGGGGCCCTCCTGGGAAATCCTCAGCAGAGGCGCCATCTATGTTTACCAAAACCAACAAACTCAAGGAAGCGTTGCTGAWCAGCATGAGTATCCCCGCGTACGCCATGTGGAAGGATGAGAGCTTTGGCCTACCAAACAAGGCTGCCGTGAGACTCATCTATCCTTGGCTTCAAGAAGGCAACTTCGAAACAGATGAGCAGGCCCGTGACTTCCTGTCAAGATACATCCTGTACCGTGGCGATTTCTCCTCAGAAATCCCGTTCGAGGAGTATCCTATCTTGAAGCTTATGAGAGACCGGGAGCGCTTTGAAGGCTATCGTGTTGGCATGTACAGTGTCAAAGACGGAAACCAAGTCCTGTTCGACGTGACTGGAGAGCCGCTATTGGGTGACAAGGGCGAATTTATCGGAGGAATCGTGCTCTTCCATGACGTGACACAATACGCGACGACGATCAATAGATACAAGACACTCTCCGAACGACAGTTTGAGAATATCTGCAACATCATTCCACAGCTCATCTGGCGCACCGACCCTGAAGGACGGCACGATTATTACAACGATCGATGGTATAGCTATACCGGCTTGTCAGTGGAGGAGAGTCATGGAGAGGGCTGGTTGAATGCCTTTGATCCCGACGACTTGGCAATAGCGGAGCCAAAGTGGCGGCATAGCCTGGCTACGGGCGATGAATATCTCACCGAGTACCGATGCAAATCTGCCAATGGAGATTGGCGCTGGATGCTGGGAAGAGCCACGCCCATGAAAGATGAGAACGGCAAGATCTTGAAGTAAGTCTACGGAACGCGACTGGCAGACCACCAAGCCATCGACAGCTACATGCCGACGTCTCTTGACTAGGCCCCCATCGCGCACCAAAACTGGGGGAGGCCTCGCTAATTGTGTTCTTTACAGGTGGTTCGGAACCTGCACGGACATACACGAATTGGTTCTTGCTCGTGAAGAGGCAAAGGTGAGTGTAGTGCGCCATGTAGTTGGAGGAATGCTGTCCTAACGCGTATCTTCTAGCAAACCCGTGCCCAGCTGGGCCGAGTCATCGAACATGGCCAAGTGACGCTCTGGGCTATAGACCGCGACTACAAGGTTGTGCTCTCAGAAGGTCGGTCAATGTCAAACGATCGAGCAGAAGATGAGTCTCGGAATCTCGTGGGCTGCGACATGTGGAAAAACTTCGAGCTTCAAGGTCGCTCTCAAGAAAGAAGAGCGTTCGAGCAGCCAATACGCGACGTGCTTACTGGCCGCAAACCGGACGAGACCATCGAGACGCAAGTTGCTACGAACAAGCGATGGTATCGAACTCGGCTATACCCACTGCTGCGTGAGGAGCGATTTGGCGGGATTGAAGGCAATGGGGGTGTCTCAATTGAGGGAGTCGTTGGTGTGAGCATGGACATCACCGAGATCCGCAAGGCTGCCGAGGAGGTGGCCATACGCGATAGAGAGAATGCGCACCTGTTGGCGCAAAGTGTGGCCGCCAAGGAGGCAAGCAAGATGAAGTCACAATTCCTGGCCAACATGTCGCACGAGATCCGAACACCCATCGCGGGTGTGATTGGAATGAGCGAGCTACTCCTGGACGACTCCTCTCAACTTACGAAGGATCAGCGAGAATGCGCGGAGAACATACAGAGGAGCGCTAACGGCCTGCTTACCGGTAAGTCAGTCCAAGGCGCGGTAATTTATGGATGAGAAGCTAACATCGTTTGTTCAGTGATCAACGACATTCTCGATTTCTCAAAGGTATGGCATGCCTATACGACGGCTATCGTACCTATCTCTGTCTATGAACTTGACTGACCCTGCACATCTAGGTTGAAAGCGGTCGCTTGGACATTGAGGAGGTCCAGTTCGACTTGAGTGTTGTAATACGGGACGTCAACAAGATGTTGAGCTTTGCGGCAGAGCGTAAAGGACTGAAGTACATCGATGACATTCAGCAGCTAAAGTCCTGGAAGGTGATGTTTGTTAAGCGTTCTGCCTCTGGCCTAAAGAACTTGCTGACTTTTACACGAACAGGGGCGATCCAGGCAGACTCCGTCAAGTCATCACAAATCTTCTCACAAACAGCATCAAGTTCACCTCGGAAGGCAGTGTCACAATGCGAGTAAAGACGCTTCGGGAATCTGACGACATGGTACAGGTGCTGTTCGAGGTCGAGGACACAGGAATCGGCATCGAGGAGGAAGTTCGAAGTAGGCTCTTCAAGCCATTCTCGCAAGCCGACAGCTCCACTGCCCGTCGTTTTGGAGGCACCGGCTTGGGCCTAACCATCAGCAAAAACCTCGTTGAGTTGATGCGGGGTGGAATATCGCTGGAATCTCGTCTCGGAATAGGCACCAAGGCCGCCTTCTGGATCCCATTCAACAAGGCAGCATACCCAAGCTCGAACTCGCCGTTAGTCAATTTAGGAATGATTCCAGACAGGCTACGATCCGAGCTGTCGCTGTCCAGACATGGTTCTGACTCGAGTCTTCCAATGGCTCCGGCCACCCCGAAAGCCACTTCTCATCAGCGCAGCGGATCTGGCATTCCTGGATATGCCCCGTGGCCCGACACCCAATCGACTGAGCAAGTACTCAGCGAGGAGGAGAGGAGTGTCACGAACATTCTTGTCGTAGAAGACAACGCCATCAACCAGCAGATAGCACTGAAGACCATCCAAAAGCTTGGCTTCCCGGTCAAGGCGGTTTGGAATGGCAAAGAGGCACTGGACTACCTGTCCGCCCCTTCTCCAGATCAACCGCGGCCCGACATCATCCTCATGGACGTGCAAATGCCAATCATGGATGGGTACAAGGCAACCTACACGATCCGGAACAGCCGAGCTTTTGCAAATGATGTGGAAGTGCGAGCTACCCCGATTGTGGCTATGACTGCGTCGGCCATCCACGGAGATCGTGAGAAGTGTCAGACCGCAGGCATGGATGACTATCTTGCCAAGCCGGTGAAGAAGCCTCACCTGGAGAAGATGCTGGTGAAATGGGCGATTGAGGGCAAAAAGAAAAGGGCGGAGCTTAAATCCAACCCTGCGGCATTGCATGTCCGACCAAGCAATACACGCGCTGCGTCTTCCTTTGCGTCGGAGTCATCAACTTCTATGCAGACTGCGCAGGAGCAGATCTCTGGCCACCTGGATCGACTGGAGTACGCAAGCCGTGCAGCAATTGAGCATTCGACCGAGAGCGAAGGGGATCGCTCTCTGCGACAGCTACATGCAGAAGAACAAGCGATCGCCCTTCGTGATAACGAATTGATCGAGGCTGGCGAAGATCCGCGCAAGAGACTCGGAAAGCTCGATGACACTCTGGGTGAAGCACAAGCTTCAACGGCGTTGACGACGGAGAACATGTCAAGGTTCGCGTTGAACAACCGCATGGAGAGGCTGTCGCGTGCTGAGTCCGGCTTGCTTGACGATAACGACAGTAGCGCCATGGCGACAGCAGCGGACACAGATACGATCATGAGGGGAACGGCACCCAGTCCTGGCCCTACTGGACTGAATGGTAATCGGCAGATATAGTAGAGGCAGCACTAATAGACGTCAGTAATGAGATATGAACGGAATGGAGCGAAGTGGGCGGTCCATGCAAGGGGCCAAAAAGGCAGCCTCACCACCATTCTTGAATCTGAACACGTCTTCGGGTTCCCTCCGTAAGATTCAAGCGATGCATCTCTACGAAGTCAAAGGCAGGCCGCCGATCGTGTATGTCGCGTTTCTTGTCATTACTTTATTGCCGCTCTACTATGGATCTTACCGATACCGACTACGACATCCATATGGCGGCGCCACAATTAGCGAGGGACGCGTTGTACCCCAGGACTTCATCCACGAATGGCTTGACGTACATGTTATTGAGCCATACAGTGCCTCTCCGCTGTCGAACTACTGTAACAGGACAGAGTGGCGTCCCAACTTGGTTTTCAACCTGGCCAACGCGAACGGGGGAATAGGTATGTAGGGTGAAACGAGAAGGCATCTCGAGCATAGCTTTTGGAGGACATTGCCAACGGGGAGGCTTCCAGGCATCTCTCGACTGCCAGCGTCTCAGAGATGCTGCTTGTGAAGCTCTCCTATGCTCTTATCCAAACGACACCGCTAATTGCACGCCTCCTTCTAGGCAACGTACGTGGAAACATCCTCGACTTCGTCTTTTTCGCCATCGAAGCCGGTGCGAGCATCGTTCTGCCTGGCATGGCGGTTAGAAGTCAGGATGACCTTAGCAATGTATGGGCGGACAGAGCCTCCTTCGACGCGCTTTTCGACGAAGAATGGTTTCTACGAAAAATGAAAGAGGCGTGTCCTCGCATGCAGATTTACAAACCTGAGCCAGGAATGGAGGTCGCCCCTGCTCTGGAGGGAAACTACCTACCGAGCTCCAGAAGAATGGACGAGTCGTTCGACAATACCAAAGACGCATACCTTGCGCATCTCGACGGATGGCTGCAAAGTAAGCCGAATTTTGAGGCGGACAAGCTGGTAGTCGTCAATCTGGAGCGAACGCTATGGGAGATTGATACCTGGAGCCTTCCTGTAGGCTTCAGACGCAATTTCGGTCAGCTGTTGAGGGTAAACCCATCCGCTTGTCAACTTGCTGCTCTGGCGGTGCAGAACTTGGCTCTGGGCTATGGAATCCCCCTTGACCCGCGTACTGCCATACCCAAAAACTCCTTTTATGGAGCGCACCTACGGACTGAAGCGGACGCGGCGAATGCTGGCTGGCTCAACGCACCCAATGCCAATTTCTCGGCACAAACTGATGCCTACATCCAACAAGCATCGAAGCACAATCTGGGCTTGATTTACGCCGCGTCAGGGGATCCCACTGATCTGGGTCGATTCAAAGCCAAAGCCGCTGCACATTCTCCTCCGGTACAAGTTGTGACTAAGTTTGACTTGCTGCCTCCTAGTGGTGCTGCTATCTTGAAGGAGATGACCTGGGATCAGCAGGCGCTGGTTGACTTTGAGGTGTTGAAGAGATGCAGTCTGTTTGGGGGATTCGTGAAGAGCAGTTTTAGCTACAACATTGGCATGGCAAGATATCAGTGGCTGGAAGATCAAGGAAAGGTAGTCGATCCGTGGATGGTCACGCACTCCATGGACGGGGTGGCTTTTGACGACGGCCTTAGTCGTATGCTTGGTCGAGATGCTTTTCACGAGCAGAGGATTCCTCGAGGGATGTGGCCATGAGGTCATTCACCACCAGGATAAGAGTTCAGCATTCTCGCCATATCCTTGTCGATTTYCTGACTTCACCTCAAATTGTCCTGACACGCCTAGATTAACCATCCGTCGGTTCGTAGGTCACATCTTTGCAATCCTTTCCAACACCGAGGCCTGCCATCTAGGCAGCATCGTCTGCACTACGGCATGTTCCATCCCCTCGCGTACCCGCCCGTTTGTGGGGTGACACCCCACCTTGGCGATATTGCGATTGGCCGTATGACGACTACCTCGGTGCGCGAAGGCGCTCCAGCTTTACGAGCACCATGTTTTAAATCCACAACAAATCTTCCGGTGCCCCCTTGTTACACATCATAAAGACCCGTCCACAAGGAATTATTCGAACCCCAGCAACGAGCACCACTTTTGACACCACCACGATCCACCCACGACAGCTACAATCATGGCGAGCGTCCCAGCGGAAATCACCATCAAGAACTTGAACGGCAGCTATGCCATGAACAAGAAGATCTCCGACTCTACCTCCCCCACCCTCAAACTTCAAAAAATCCCTTGGCTGGTCCAGCAGGCTGCCAACTACAGCAATGTCTCCGTCAACCTTAAGCAGTACAAGGATGACGCTGGTGTTGAGCACGTCGACCAGGAGCAAGTCTCCTCGGTGAACACCCAACACGAGCCTAGAATTCTCGACAACCAGATGCATGAGCGGGACATTCAATACTGGGGCAAGGTCAAGGGTAGAAGCCAGTGAGTTTTTCCAGCATTCATTAGTCAAGATTACCTAGGAGTACTAATGGTGGTCTTCCTTTCTACAGGTTCGTCAAGGTCTCGGAAATCGCGGATGACTACCTCAACAAGGAGTGGGACAGTGATGAGGTTCTGGAGAGCTATGTCGAGAGCTTGGACAACGGCTGGACTGCTTGGCAGATTTGGGGTTTCTCTGATGTTGAGGGAGTGCGTCGCCATGTTCGACGTGTTGTTACCAAGAAGGGGAAAGACGAACTTAAGATCAGACTGGTCTACGACTGGGCGCCAGCGGGTTTGTAGTAGTGAGGACCACCTGAGGTACACGGTACGAGTTAAGACGTAATGTACACGGACAGAATGCAGTTTATGAGTTTATTGTTACAAGCTCGACCTCGAAGTTATCCTCATTGCTAAGACTGATGTTCATCGACAGTGAGAAAGATGTGCCTTCGTTTCCACCAACAGAATTTCTTGACACCATCAAGTCTCTTGGAATCCTAGCATGGACTGGTGACTGCTGTCAAAGTAGTTTGAGGCCGGCATATCACTCTGCTAAGCGCATCCTTCACAGTCGTCTTGGTCGCAGTCGCACTCATTCGCATCGACGACAGTCGCGGCATGCTTAGACAGTGGTTTGAGCATCGGCTCCACACCAGGTCCAACATCTCCACATTCTCCAGTACTCTCAGCAGTCACGCTGGCAAGCGGTTCCTCATGAGCATTCTGACCGCTGTTCCTGATGAGGCAGACACTGCAGTCGCAGACTTCTCCCGTACTCTTACACCCCAAAGCCGTTGGCAAGTCTTTCGCGCGTTCCGGATTGAAACCTTTCGAGAGCTCCGTGGCCTCCGTGACGCATTTGTCGCCCTCTTGTGAAATGAAATATGTGATCAATTCCATGACACAGCTGAACAGTTCGGTGCCTTGACCATCTTTTGCTTCTTGACGATCTGCGTCGAGCAGCAGCAGGTCTACAAGCCAATAGTCTGCCATATCTGGACCGGTGGCCTTAACATGAGCATGATACATCCTCGTTAACTCCTCAACCAGATCTGCGCATATCATCCAGAATCTAAGGTAGCTGAAGTTCATCCTCATGTCATCCTCGATTCGCAGCTTCTTGAATGTGCGCAAAAGCTGAATGCCGGTGTACTGTGGTGAGTGATACGCCTGCTTAGGCTTGCGGCCGACGTGTTTCGCAACTTCGGCCTTTTCAGTGAGCTTCTGAAGCACGATCTCTTGACGCTCCGAGCGCTCGAATCCACCGAGGGCCCTATCACTAAGTCTCTGCTCACGTTCAGCCTTCCAAAGCTGTGAGCCAGACTCGAGTGCTCTCCGCGGTCGCATGTTATAGGTGCAACCACTCAATCTGATGTTTTCCCGGGCGGCCAGTGAACGTGGCATACCCGTTACATGAGCGAAGTTGGACTCAAAGGTACCCGGACTGCGCTTCTGTCCAAAGTCCAAGACCAGGTTACCATGCTCGCGAAGAATCCATTCCATATCGGGCCATGGAGATTCTATCAGGCCTAGCCGCCGACCGGCATTGTAGAGATGGGCCATGCTGATAATCTGAAACCCACTTGCGGCCCATTCTGCGCCGAATGAATGAAAGGTCGCCAAATGATTCTCCGTCCAGTGGGAGCCTGCGGCAGGAAACTTTCGCCAAATGTTCATTTCTGGCGCCTTGTCGGACTCTCGAACCGATTCAATGCAAGACTTGAGGACCTCCGCCGCTCCCTCTCCCTTGGAGAGATCCTTGAATATTGCTATTGTTTGATTCACTAAATCCGTGTGTGAGCACTCTTCGGTGGAGAACACACGATTCATGACCTTTTCGAGCTCTTTAATCTTGTCGGCGACGCTCAGGATCTGGTCCACGATGCTTACACACCCCGCGTCCAGATGTGTTTCCAGAGTTTCATGTATGTGCAGGTAGACCTGGACGTTACTGACTGTGGAAATGGACATGCTGTCGGTTGCCTGCATTGCCCGAAGACATCTTTCAAACTCAGAGGCGGCCGGACGATCCATTCGTAGGCAGTACGCACGCCAGAGGTCGGTCGAATGCTGGTGCAGTGTCTGCACGAACCCATGGCATTTGGTGACGCCTGAGGGATCTGACGGTGGTCTGGTGGTGAGTTTGTCTGGCTCTTCCGAGATCAAAGCATTTAAATCGCACCAGTGTTCTCGAACTTTGCTCGTTGCAAATGCAGAGACTGGACACAGAAGACGTGCAGCAGCGCTTTGTGGATCCATCACCTCGCCCGTCTCAAGGATGATCAGTCGTGGTCCGTCGTTATATGCCGTTCCATAACCAAGACAAGCCAACACGCTGTCGTAAGTCGCGAGATCAGGATATTTCGCCGTGAAGACGTTGTTGGCACGACGCATGATTCCAAAGGCCGTCTCCGATATCCGACTCGCCACATTGAGGCTGATCTCGCCGTTGTGATACTCGTTCCAGGACTCACATGCGAGAGCACGGATCTCCTGCAAGTCTAGCAGGAAACAAGTCAACGCGAAGCGCTTCTCTTCCGCTCCATCGACCTCGAGCACAGGCGCTGGTGGCGCGCTCGCGGTCTTGGCTCTCTGCTTGGTTGGAGCTTTCGAGGATGTTTCAGAAGGCTCGTCGACCTGCAAGAGCTCAAACAAGTTGGCGARAGCTTCTCGGGAGTTGGTGGGAGCTTCGCACTCCACCTCTTTCATTTCCTGCTTGCGCGCCGCCTTTACCCTTAGTCGGGCCTGCTTCAGCAGCCGACGGACCTCGTGCAGGACCTCGATGAAGTACTGATGGCCCGCGTCGTCTTTGGCCTCTTTTGTGGTCGGCTTTGTATGAATGGAGACATGGAAGACGGCGCTCGCGGTCCGTCCGAGGATTACATCATTGATGAGCTCAATGATTGAAGCTGGGATGTCTGGCGGCGGGTTCCAGGTCGAAAGTATCTCGGCCCATTTGAGTAGGTCGCTTGTTTGGACCTTGCCGCTCTTGGTGGCTTTCGCGGTGGCGCTGCGGCGACAGCAAGTGGCTGCGTCTATCAAGAAGGTGACAAGTCGGTCGGTGCCGCGCTTGTAGAGCGCGTAGCGTCCAATGGACGAGTTGTTGTTGGACATGTTGCGAGGATGTCTTTGGAGGATGCGCCAGCAAGCAGCGCTGAAGTTCTGTAGGAAGACTTGTGCGCGGGGACAACTTTTTCGGGCCGCTGCACTCTTACAACTAAGACCAAGGACGCAAGTGAATGAAAGGTGCATATATATCAAAATGAATGGCACCAGAGCTGTCGATATGAGGATTATTCATCGGGGCAAGACATCCTCAGTCATGCCAGCAACGTCCCAAGGCCTCGCTCTCTGCAAGCTCGACGATTTTGGGCCTATTGGAACCCTTGCTAGTAGCAGAGTGGCTTATCAATCAATCGAGAGAGCATTTCAAGGCGCTGGTCTTGTTGATGATATCTTATATCGACAGCTCCGATGAATGCAACGTTGTCCATGCATGCAAGCGAATGAATGGATGCCCAAAGATAGTGAATTCAAAGGTATCCGTCGGCACAAGGTGATCTTAGGGATTCTTACATGTATTTAGACCGCGCTGGCAGCACGAGAGAACACTGGCATGCATACGGGTAATTTCAGCTCTCCACTGATACCTTAGCCCGAGCGAGCTGAGTTCCTTGCCAAGGCATAGTAAATATGTTTTGGGATCATGAATCCTTACGCATCTCCTTCGCGAACATAGAACTCAGCAGTGTCCAAGGAGACGTGACTGTATGGTTTGATATGTCAACATGGTATGGTTTAGTTTAGTTGCGTGWGTTGGTACCGAAGGTGTTCGTTCTTATCGGCCAGAGTCTCCGTGGAGCTGCATGGGCGCGACAGAATTGATATTTAGATGAGCCAAACAGCCCCAGTTCTTGATACCGGAAAAGTCACGGTGCGATGATGTTTGGGAGGGACAAAGGCAATACATGATGTTTGGAGCGCTTGTCGTGTGGGTGTCGCAAAGAAAAACATGCGGTCTCCTTGTTACTTCTGGATCGGAAGCTGCCAAGTTCAACGACACTGGTACTCCTCGTTGTCTCAAGGAGTGACAGGTTCGGATTCTGGAAGGATGATGGCGTCGTGAAGGAGGAGAAGTGAATACCCCCAGTCAAAAGTACCTAGCGTGCGGGAGCGGGAACTCTAAATCGTACCTGCAGCTCCCAGCTCTCCCAACCACCTCATTCGCGACACTTCTATTCTGCGCCCATCATCAGCGCTGCATCAATTCGTTCGCCAGCAACTCCGGACCGCGTATCCAGTGTCGCATCACTCTTTACTACATCCTCACTGTCGCTTAGCCCCAACACCTTCCTTCGTCCATCACAATGGCAGACACTGAGGGCGAGATCGTGATCGAGGACGAAACCGCCGCGGACGAGGAAATGGGCGACGTCGAAAACGGCGAGACGGTGGTCGAAGAGTCGGCGCCTGGAGGACTGGAGGACATTGAGCCGACCATTCCGCCGCGGACCACATTTCTGGAGTGAGTGGTATACACGGCGATGAACATGCATGGTTGAAGAGGAATTGTATCTGACGGAACTATGTTTACAGCTACCTGAGCTCGCCCATTGTCGAGCTCGCGGTTGGGAGTGGCGAACAGGCGACGACATTGTTTGCACACCAAGGACTACTCACCAAGTCGCCCTTCTTCGAAGAGGCAGTGTCCAAGTTCTCGGATAGCCCCAACACCCGCCGTCGCATCGAGCTCTCCAACGACGATCTGGCTGCCACAGCATCCGTGCTTGAGTATCTGTACAAGGACGACTACTACCCCAACCTCACCGGCACTACGAACATGGACTTCGACACTTCCGTACCGCAGCCTGACAACGAGGGTGTTGGTCTGCTTCGCCATGCCCGCATCTACGCGCTCGCCCAGCGCTACGGTCTGCCTGCACTGGCGGCACTCGCCCACAAGAAGATCCATCTCACACAATCGACCGCAAAGGGCGAGATTGCATACGCTCGCTTTGTATACGCAGAGACCAACCCAGACGACGAAAACATCCGGAAGCCTGTGGCTGCATTTTGGGCTAACCGTTCGTATGTGTTGCGTCACGAGGCCGAACAAGAGTTCAAGCGCATGTGTCTCGAGTACCCACAATTCGGCTTCGACGTGCTCAGCTTGGTCCTCGATGCACAGGAGAAGCGCAGTCAGCGTACCGAGGGAACTGGTGGGCCTTCTGGCCGGAAGAGACAGCGGGTATGATCGAAACACCATCTTCGCCGAACGAGCTCGTGCTGACCAGATCGCAGACCATCTTGTAAAGGGAAGGCGAGAAGAATCTGTAGAATTACTGGCCATGATGACATTGTCGGGAGCAGAGCAAGATATGGTTGCTCATCCCAATTTAGCAATGTGTCGCGATCGAACGCGACGGGACGAGAGGCAATGTACAATCATATTCGCTGGAGCTGTACGAAGATCACTTTTCGAGAAAATCACGTTCCCACAGTTGCTAGGGGTGTTCGGGTGTCACTTCTTCACGTCGTGCAATGCCGTTGAAAGCATGTGCTTCCCGCCATATCTAGAATTCACCTGTCCTTCGCTGTCATCAAGAAGACAAGGGCCAGCGGTACGTTGCAGTTGTATTGATCGTCGTGTGAAGCTCCCGTCGCAGTCGTCGAGATTTGGTGGGGTTGAACCCTTTGACGCCGTCTCCTTTGTAGCTCAAAGCAAGCCCACCAAGACCAAGACTAAAGGCACCTCTAGTGCACCTTGACCGCCTGGTGCAAACAGACTTCGGTTCTTCGATATCTGCCACAAGGAACTCCCACCATCACACACACTCATACCGCGATCATGGAGGAGATAGCGCCGGAATACGATGTCGTCGTGCTTGGGACTGGCCTCACGGAATGTATCCTGAGCGGGGTACTGTCGGTGAAGGGCAGCAAGGTGCTGCACATGGACAGGTAAATTGGCAGAGAGAGAAGAGCTTCCACAGGGTGCACAGCTGATGGCATGTCCAGAAATGACCACTACGGAGGCGAAGCGGCATCGGTGAACCTCGAGACCATGTTCAAGAAGTACGGCAACTACGAAGCTGGCACTGAGCCATGGAAGAAGTACGGCCGCGCAAATGACTGGAACATTGATCTCGTGCCGAAGCTGCTCATGAGCAACGGCGAGCTCACCAATATCCTCGTCAGCACCGATGTCACCCGCTACATCGAATTCAAGCAAATCGCAGGCAGCTATGTGCAGCAAGGCAAGGGCGCCAAGGCGACGGTGGCCAAGGTTCCTAGTGATGCTGGCGAGGCGCTCAAGAGCCCTCTCATGGGAATCTTTGAGAAGAGGCGTGCAAAGAACTTCTTGCAGTGGGTTGGCAGCTTCGAAGAGAGCAACCCTAGCACACACAATGGTAGGTGGTGGTGGTGGTCGAGAGCAGCATGGCACGGTTGGCTTACCAGAACACGTAGGGATGAACCTCTCCCAGACCACCATGCGACAGGTCTACGACAAGTATGGTCTGGAGCCCGGTACTCGCGACTTCATCGGCCACAGCATGGCTCTCTACACGACCGACGACTACCTTGACAACAAGGGCATGGCCCGTGACTGCATCGAGCGTATCCGCCTCTATGTTAACAGCATGGCGCGGTACGGAAAGAGCCCGTACATCTACCCCTTGTACGGACTGGGCGAGCTGCCACAGGGTTTCGCGCGTCTCAGTGCCATCTATGGCGGCACCTACATGCTCAACACCAACATCGATGAGGTCAAGTACGAGAACGGCAAGGTCTCCGGGATCCGCGCGACGATGAAGGAGCGAGGCGAGGAGGGAGACGGCATGAAGTTCGAGACAAGATGCAAGAAGATTATTGCGGACCCTTCGTACTTCCCGGACAAGGTTCGCGTCACTGGCCACTACATCAAGGCCATCTGCATCCTCAACCATCCAGTGGACAAGACCGACAACTCGGACTCGCTCCAGCTGATTCTCCCTCAATCCCAGATTGGCCGGAAGAATGGTGAGTACAATTCCGAAACGTGTCCAGACTTGCAGCTAACCGTTGCCAGACATTTACATCGCCGTGGTGTCTTCCAACCACAACGTCTGTCCCAAGGGCTACTACATTGCCATTGTCTCGACTGTCGCCGAGACTGACGCGAACCACCACCTAGAGCTGCAGCCTGGTCTTGATCGCCTGGGCCGGATAGAGGAGCAGTTCATGGGTCCTCCAATTCCCATCTACGAGCCGCTTGAGAGCGGTGCCAACGACAATGTCTTCATCAGCAAGTCTTACGATGCCAGCTCGCACTTTGAGACTATGACTGAGGATGTCCGGGACGTCTACCGGAGAGCTGCAGGCGAGGAGCTGGTTGTTGAAGGTCTGAAAGAAGGCCAGCAGTTGGTGCAGGAAGAGTGATGTGGCACAGATGGTAGGCAATTGAGCACATGATGCTGCTAAGCACTGTGGTGTCGATGTATGAATCGCTGTCAAATGAGCAGAATACAGGATGTTACAAGACCGCGCGCATGGATGCATGTAGCAAGATGTTTACTCATGCTTGGCAGTCCTCCCGTGTGATTTCGAAGTATTGACATCACAGGTCACGTCCAGGGGGAGAACTGGAATGACATGAATGTTGAGCTCGGCACCGCCTCCACCCCTTGCATAGTCCCACTACGATGCCATAGACACACGACGTACGAGCAACACTTGCATGCCGCCACACCATTTCAAGAGGTAAGGATCCACCAGGGAACCTCGACGTCCAAGGCCAGCGGGTGGCATATCCAGTCCAGATCTCGGGCATATTTCTCGATGCACGCTTTAAGTATCCAGGGATCCGGACATGGTAGACCCTACTATTCCTTGGCCAATGTCAGCCCGTAAACGCTCTAACTCCTCAGACCATGCTCACTTCCAGAGCGCCTCGTCTTGGCATTCTATAACAACTTACGCAATTTGTGGCTCGCCTTTTCTAAGAACAGTGAGCTTGGCGAGATCTATTGCAAGTGCTTCGAGATCCATAGCTTTTCGAATGGTGCAACGCAGGAAACAGCATAACTGCAACAGAAAAAGCCCAGAAGTTGTCGTATAGTCCTGGCGGGTTTGTGTTATCATACCAAGCCTTGATGATGATGGTTATTGATCTGATACAAACATCGATCGCAGCTTGTAGACACACGCGGCTCAATCAGATCTTTGATCCAAGGACATGTGTTCAGAATGAACATTTGTACATGTATCATGACGTTGCGAATGCAACGTCGTAGTATCTGTCCATGCCATCACTATCGATTCGCGTTGAGCACTATACTCACTGTTCATCGAACTTGGGGAAAAATTTGCCACTGTATACGACCCGAGCAAATCATATCAGTATCAAAGCACACACACTCCGCAGAAAGTTCGTGCCAAAGTGTTGTACTTTCGTCATAGCACCCTCTCGTACACTACTACCAGAAGACCATCTCCACTAGCATTCAATATCCAGGGCGTCGGAGATCAAAAGGCGGCTCTTCGCATCGGAAGGCTTCCTTCCCTGCCTTAAGACAACCCTGTGCATCATCCTCGCAAGAACCCTGGGAGATTCAACCACTTTTAAGCCTTACAGAGACGCGGTGTAGGCGGACCCTTTGCCATCCGAGGAAAACATAAAATCTCTCCCTCCGATGCCAAGGGAAAGAGACGCGGTAATGTCGAAAGCAAAAATCCTATTACATACGCCAGAAGAAAGCACATGGTGGATATGTCATATCCGTTGATTGGTAGGCCACAGCAGTCCAGTTGGAATAGTTACCCCTCGATTGTTCGCACAAAAGTCGCCTAGGATGTTTTGATCGCAAGGACTTTGGATTTGCAGCCATTCGGAAGTTTGCAACTTAGTGAACAAGCATCGAGACGTCTCGTTGATAACAAAGTGGCGAAGGCGGGCGCCGCCAAACGCATGTGCAGTAGCAAGGCCACGTTTGTTTAGCCCCCTGGACGTTTGTCCGGCGATCCTGGCATGTGAGCCACGTTCAATTAAGCGGGCCTGTGATTGAGGGTATAACGGAGAGGCGGACCGAGAAACGAGTTTATCAGGGCTTTGGCAGGGTTCGCTATTGCGACAAGTTTGGAAAGCCTTGCCTGTGTACATGAAAGGGGAACAATAGAGATCGATGAGGCACAAGACTCAGGACTTTCAAAGAGTTGAGTACCTACGAGATCGTCCCACTAATGCCAAATCCTGCTTGCTTACGACGGCGTTACAACAAGATGTTGGAAGAAAGTGTTGAAATGATGAAGTTCTTTTAGCACGCGGCTAGTGCCGAGCAACCGAAACGATAATAGTAATCCACCGTGTGTCCCGATGAACATCGATGCATCCTCGATGTATCACAACCTTTTTTTTCAGCCCCGTCCCCCTCCACACAAAACAGGAAGAGGGGCAATAGGACAGGGATTCTGTCAGTGCGCATCGACTGCGGTCTAGAACCTCGATTGATGTCCAATCTTTCGAACTGCAGATGCGTAACTATGTAGCGAGAGCCAAACGACATCGCCAGGACGAACGACCAAAAAGCCACWAATATACGACCTCGAACGTCATACAGCGGTGCAAGTTCTGGTGAATCGATGAGGATCGCTACTTTCATCGACGAGTGCGCTGTTTGACTGGGAGGCTCGGGCCAAATGCAATTCCCACCACACTAATTGAACTCCACGGTTGGTGATCTTGGGCGACAACCGGGACTCTCCGGATGGTCTCGTCCCATGGAATGCTCGGATGCTTKCTTGCAGCACCTTGGGGTGAAGTGGAGGCAAAGCAATCGAGAATCGGGAACGGAATCGAGCGGCGTACTCCATGAATRATGAGTGACCGGGTAGCACAAGCGAGCTTGCATCGTTCGTAATGGTGATTCGATTCGGGTACCGGCAGTTGCAAGTTCCTTTGAAACTGTAATGGCCTGTCCTGTCACTGTTATGTGTCGCTTGTGTGCGCAAACGCTGCCGTGTCTTGGTTGTGTCTCTGTCGTATAGGCATTGTATCGATGGACCGACACGATGGTAGCTGCGGGAATCCGTGTCTGTGTCCTGTTACCCACATTTGTAACTCCACCACCATTGACTCTCCGCTTATGAGATGCAGTTGTGTTTAACTCAATTCGAATGACAATCCCGTCAACTTGGTAATGGCAGCAATCGAAGGTTGAAAGCCTGCAGCAAGGCACAGCCACAGCCACGCTACCCATCGTTATCAGTGGTCGATCCCCACTAAAGGCTCCATAATTAATGCACCGCAAATGGACGGCCCGAACAAGACTTCACTCCAGTCCAAGCCGATCGCCAACGCGCATGGCGAATATAGCGAGTCAAGTAGTGGGTAGCACGAAGGAATGGACGGGCGGCAGTGAACCTGTGCGCCCCCAATGTAGGACTCCTCCGACGGACCAGGCCATCTAGCCCGACGCCTGCTTGCTTACCCCGGCATGTGTTCCGATGTGCCTTCGCGATCGTAACTAGAAGTCTACAAGGTGCCCAGGTAGCTCTGACGTGAAACCCTATGCCGCGAGAACCATTCTTACTTCCAGGTCGAGGAGGCGAGCTGCAGGAAGCACCCTCTTTTTTTACATAAGAGCTTTACTCACTCTTGGTGCTGGATCTTCTTGACGACCCTCAATAATCGTTCTTTACATGATGACGAAGGCACCTAAAAGAGAACAAGTCAGCAATGCCTGCACCAGCTGCCGACTCTCGAAGTTGAAGGTCAGAGTTTCAGGGCTCACTGCTCGTGCATCATCAACGTGCTGATCTGTGAATGGCAGTGCAACGGCCGACATCCAATCTGCTGTCGTTGTGCGGCAAAAAACCTAGAGTGTGTCTACGATGTTTCTGAAGGCATGACAAAGCGCCAGCATCTCAACAACGAGCTGGTCGGACAGAAGTTCGAGCTTGAACGTGCCATTGCGGTCTTGCACGTCCTGCAGTACGGTACAGATCAAGAGGCAACCGCTTCACTTGCTCGCTTGCGACTCGGGAGCAGTATAGAGCAGGAATACTTCCGGCTTCTGCCACAGATTCCGAGCCTTGATGCCATTGTATCCGCCAAAAGCCTTGATCGGACCCAGCTCCCCACTCCGGCGAATGAGCAATCGGAAGGTCCAAGGTCGTGGGGATGTCTTGCCCGTGGTACCTATGGCGAATGGAACACGACCGGAATGGACTCGATGGATTGGACCAAACCGGTCAGCCCAATGTCGCAACATTCGTCTACGATGATGGACAATACTGCCGCGGGCCCATACTTGGACATGAAAGCAGGCACGCCAAATGGCAATGATATCGGCGAAGAACCTCTGTCTTGTATCGGCGGATGATCGCGACCGATCCCTTCCTGATCCGTCAGGCGCATGGTCAATCTCGAATGGCACTACCCCTCCCAATCCTGTTCGTCAGTCTGCCCTAGGAAGTCATTTCCATCCTGGTAGTCAGTATCTCCTAGGAACCCCTTCCGATCCTGCTCGTCATTCTCTTAGGATTCCCCCTCCCATGTACGAACCATAAGGAGCTCGTAGGCCGCCTGATCGCACGTTTGACCTGGAATTCCCGTACTCGGTTCAGCGACTTTATTTGTTCGTGCGATTGGACCCGCCAGGACTGAACGAGTGACACCCATCAACGCAATTCCTCCGCAGCGACGCCACGCGTCCGTTTCTCGGGCCATAGAGACTTGTTTCGATCAGCAGAGCCAGACGACACGAGTTTGCCTTGACAGGAGGGAGGATGAGGAGCGTTCTGGAACGGTCAAGGCAACTGCCGCCGCAAGATGTCGTGAATACAAGTAGTAGCAGTGCTGATGCTTACTGCTTCCTGTCATACCTATGGCTCGTCCTGCTCGATCTCAGACGCTCATGCCATACTTGCGAGGAATGTCAGCAACGCTACCGTGCGAGTTCGTGGATGGACCCCTTGTCTCTGTTGCCTTTAGCTGGCGCCTAAGCTCTTCAGGGCTTCTCTGAGCTCCTTCACGGCCGTCTCCGCATCCTCGAAATTCAACGCCGATATGGCCCATTTGGCGTGCTTCTGGGCGGCCATGATCGCGTCATCGTCAGTGTTATAGCCGCCGGCTGGCGGCCCATTGGCACTGACTGGGGCGACAGGTGGCCGAACCACAGACGGAATGGCTGCCGGTCCACCCGTTTGTTGAGGTGGTGGTGCCTTTGGCTGCTCTTCAGGCTGCGTCTCGAACGCTTGTGGTGGAGGGACGATTGGAGGCGGTTGCACGTTGTTGTAGAAGTCGGCAGGACTGGATGGCAAACGGGGTGCTGATGCGCTATTTGCTGGCGCATCTGGGACTTCTGGAAAGTAGCCGCCACCTATGGAAGGCGCTCTACTGCTGTGTGCGTCGGAAGGCCCAGTCGGGGAAACGACTGACGGCCCTTGGTGAGAGCTCGCCACATGCGGAGGAGGTGGAGCCATGGATTCAATCTGCGAAGTGGAATTTGAACGCGAGGGCTGCCCGTCGTCCGAAACCGCCTCCACTGTTGGCGCCTTGTATGCACCTGTATCTGCCTCCAAGTTCCGTAGTTCAGCTTCAATATCATCAGTCATTGGAACGTTAGGCGGCGGCTCAACCACCGGATTGGTAGCATTTGGATCTTCTCCTGCCTTGAAGGCTCGAGCTATGCGTAGAGCATGAAACTTGGCGAACTTGCTCTTGGCTGCAATCTCGGGTTCCAGTGGTGACCAAATGGTCAGAAGATCCATAAACGTGACGGACGCCTGGAACGTGTCCGCAGTCTGCTTTGTGACTTTGTTGGCGCGTTGAGCCTCATCGCCGCGGTTGAATGTCTCCAACGCAAAGTTTTCAATGTACGCTTTTGCTGCCATGTCATCCACCACCGCATCGTTGGCAGCATTTGCCGATTTGTAGTTTTCCATCTTCTCCATCAGCTGCATCGCATAGTTTGTGCACTCTTCATCGCTCGCATGCAGCTGCCTGGAGAGAATCTGCTGTAGAATGTAGTATTCGCCTGGAGAACCGTCAGTTCTCGTGTTCCAACTAAAGCCGACTGGACGACATACACCAATATGTGACGATGGGCCGAAACTTCTCAATCTGTGCAGCTCTTGTAGCGAACTTGACGACGTCCGGAGCGGCGGCCTTCAGCTTGGCAGGAACAGCAGCGGCCATGATGGCGATCGCGGTGGATATACGATTCGTGGACCAGTCCAGTGGGTGTGGTGTGGTTGAGACCGGGCCGAAAATGAAGCTGTTGTTTGAAAGCACATGAAAGAAGGTAACAGCACGCTACGTAAGTGCCTTGTTGGTTCGGCCCCACTCAGATGAGTAAGGCTTCGAGATTGTGGGGAGAGCTAAACATGAAGTTACACCTTCGAGCTGAGTGTGAAGAGGACACCTTTCTAATTGGAAGATCCTACGCGTCAGTACAGTTGTTCCAGTCGACACTCGGTACAGAAATTGTGATTCTCTCAGCATCACTGCCTTCACAATGAAATCGACATCCATTGCCGCCGCAGCTGGCCTGCTGCTCTGCGGTGCCAATGGCATGTACACGAAGCAGTCCCCCGTACTGCAAGTCGACGGACGATCGTACGAGAACCTCATCGCGAGATCCAACCACACCAGCATAGTCGAGTTCTACGCCCCGTGGTGTGGCCATTGCAAGAACCTCAAACCGGCATACGAAAAGGCAGCCAAGTCACTCACTGGCCTGGCCAAAGTTGCCGCGATCGACTGCGATGAGGAAGCCAATAAGCCATTCTGTGGAAGCATGGGCGTCAAAGGGTTTCCAACTCTGAAGATTGTGAGGCCGGGAAAGAAGCCCGGAAGACCCATGGTCGAGGACTACAACGGTGGACGAACTGCCAAAGCCATTGTTGACGCGGTCATTGACAAGATTCCCAATCACGTAAAGAGGGTGAAGAACGCAGACTACGAAGAGTGGGCCGCAGAAGGAGATATGCCGAAGGCCATTTTGTTCTCCGACAAAGGAACGGTCAGMGCGCTGCTCAGGTCTATTGCGATTGACTTCTTGGGCGTTCTGGGTGTCGGACAAGTTCGTGACAAGGAGACTGAGCTTGTTGCAAAGTTTGGTGTTGACAAGTTTCCTACTCTCGTGCTGCTTCCTGGAGACGGAAAGGAGCCACTCAAGTACGATGGAGAGATGAAAAAAGAGGCCATCACCAAGTTCCTTTCTCAAGCCGCGTCGCCAAACCCAGACCCAGCACCTAGCAAGAAGAAGGCAAAGACAAACAAAAGCAAAGCCTCCGCATCAAAGCAGGCAAAGCCCTCAGCGGCTACACCTCCCGCTGAATGTCCGGCAGGAAAAGGCAAAGCTGCGTCGCAAACTGAAGAGACAATCATTGAGGATCCAACAGATTCACCAAGCCCAGAAATCGATAACCAGCAGAAGCCTATCAAAGTGCCAACAGTAGCTCCACCAATCACTCAACTAGCGGACGGACTTTCGCTGCAACAAAAGTGCCTCAACGACAAAGCGGGCACATGTATATTGGCCTTACTTCCAGAAGAGAGCGCACCTTCAGAAAAGACCATCGAAGCGATCCGCAGCCTCAGCGATCTCCACCAGAAACACGAATCGGCCAAACGTAACCTCTTCCCATTCTACCAGCTTCCAGCTTCAAACTCACAGGCCAGCGCTCTGCGTACCAAACTCGAACTCGCGCCGACAGAGGTCGAGATCATTGCTATCAACGGCAAGCGTGAATGGTGGCGCCACTTCAAAAGCACTGACTTCAAGCTCACCAGCATCGAAAGCTGGGTCGATGCGATTCGCATGGGTGATGCTCCCAAATCGAAAGTTCCGAGCGGCCTGATCATGGATGCTGAGCAGCTTCCGGCCGAGCCTGTCAAGGTTGAAAAGGGATCGGCCGAGTTCAAGCAGATGAAGGAGTCGATGAAAGGGAAACTTCCAGAGGGAATGGACTTTGAGATGGAGGAGATTGATGATGAAATGTATGAAAAGCTGATGAGTCAAGGGGATGCTATGAAGGATGAAGGTCATGATGAGTTGTAGTGCTGTAATGACATGCTGATTGTACAATTTAGCCCGTCTCAAATGCATACCGTTCCCTTCTCGTACAACAACTCTTCGTGGTCCTACCTAGTCTTGTCTTGCCTCAGCAGCTTGAAAGCCACAACCTTCGCTGCGCTATCCAAACATAATCGGCTACATTTACGGAACGAAAAATTCTTCATCAACAACCAGAGAGTAAAGTTGGACTAATAATTGTAGGTATGAGTATATACATGAATATCGCTACATTTTCAATACTTGCGTCACAACACGCTCAGCAAAATTCTTAAACAGTCCAAAGACATCATAACTCTCTAAAGAATGATCCCAAGCAACTTCTTCTTATCCTGCTGACCCTCAGCCTTGTAGCTGGCTCCAGGGTACTTGGCGAACTGTGATCCGCCGAGAACAGTCAACTGAGGGCAGCCAAGCCCAGTGTTGATTGGCGCGAGCTGCTCGGTGGCCCACTCCAAGACGGACTTTCCAAGGCCTTCAAGAGGAGTGGCAGCGTCAGGGAAGCCGAGGGAAGCGGCCTGAAGGAAGAAGCAAGCGGCGTTGTTACCCTCTGCGAGCTGGGCAGTGTTCATGAGGCCTCCGGTGAGATCACCGGTGTCGATTCCTGCAAAGCTGTTGACTGTACCGGTGTTTCCACCGATGMGGAGGATGCCGGGGTACCTGAAAAGAAGCATTAGTATACGTTGCTGTGGTGCAGGGCAAGTGGATGCCGTTGCTTACATGGCGTTGTTGGCGAACAAGTCGGCGAAAACGCCAGGGATGGTGTAGGCGTTGGCTGTCGGGCGCCTGTACCAGTTCTATAACGACGTTAGTTCAAGAGCAAAGTAACAAGCTACGGCGAGTAACATGCCTTTGGAATGCGCTCCTGGCCGCGGTGGTGTACGAAGTTGCCGGGCTCGCCCGTGACAGCGAAAAATTGCTTCAGAACATTGCGGTTGAGCACACCGCCAGGGTTCTCCGCACTGCGGTTGGACATGAAGTTAATAACGAAATTGTGAGCCGCCGGACTAACGAAACCAGCGAATGGCGCCGCGAAATAGTACGGGTTGTTCATAATCGACCATCGAGTCACATAGTCGGACTGCGCGGCTGCCTCCTCGAAGGTATACTCCTCGGCCATGTTGTAAAAGTGCTCCCAAGAGCGCATCTGGAAGACACCAACGTTTCCCTACGAGCTTGTCAGCGTTTGAACGACGACGGGGACTCCGTGGTGCGCAATTACATTGTTCAAGTACGCGTCTCCTCGCACTATAGACGCATCGGACTCGTACTGGTTGTGGGTTCCAGCAATACCAGTTGGTCGGCCGAGTACGGACAGCGCGCCGTCGTACCCACCACCGATCGACCAAGTTCCCGCGACAGGGTCTCCAGAGATACCGATGGCAACAATAGACAGGAAAACAGCAAGATCCGGAGCCATGCCAAAGGCATCACCCAGACCCTGTGTCGTCTGCACGGTGTTCGCAATTCCATTGCGTGGGAGGAACCCATGGTTTGCAGCCGCGTTGAGTCCGGGACATTGACCACGAAGCTCACCAGCCTTTGGGCTTCGGAACTCGTGACCAGAGCCTTCAGTCACGTCAACGTATTGCTCCTCTGCATTAAAGCCAGCCGGAGGAGTGGAAGTGTTTGGCCGGGTGTTCTTGACCATGGGCTCTCTTGGTGGAGGCTCCACACGCTTGGAAAGGATGTTCTCGTTCATCTGCATGACCTCGGGCCATGCTGCAGCATATGGCAGAGCTGCCAAGAAAAGAGTGGAAGATTTGACCATATTCGCAGACAAAATTGAAGAATGTGTACGAGAATGGGGGACGTGCAGAGGGAGGTGATGATGGTAGGATAATATACCACAGGGGCCACACGCTTTCCCTCTGTCCATCTGCTGCCTCAGATCAGCCTAGAGCTCGTTGAAGGGGCGCCATGATGGGGTCGCGCAGACAGTTCCGACCAATTCAGGAAAGATGTGTCCATGTGGCGCATGATCGACAAGTATAGCGGTATGCAACCCTGGGTTTACCGGGTAAGCCGAATGTTCCTCTTGTGATTGATGCAAAAGGCAACAAAGACTGCCATGGCTAACCCCTTCCCCGCATTTACCAGCTGTCGTTGCGATCGCAACTCATATCCAAGCTTTGTGGAGACGTGCGCCGAGTGCAGATCACTACCGAAGTGAATCAGAAACACAAATTGCTTATACCTTCACTTACATTTGTGACTGGCCGGCTGCGAGACTCGTGAGGATGTATCTGTACAAGCACGATCTTCCAAGGCAGCGAAAATCAAGATGATCTTGGGTACTGGATCCGTTGTGCGTCTCCATGCATCTTGACATCGACTGTCATCATTTGCACGCAGAGGCGCCGATCTCAGGAACATGGCAGGAGTTCTGGAAATCTCTCAACAGCAACGGGTAGCTTCTGCGTTGTTGGAAAGCCCACAGAGCCGGCTTGGAAGCAGCAGTGTGCATTTGCCACTCGGTGGGTATTGCACCCACTACTGGCGGCGCCCAGCTTTTTCCACGCGGGAGCCAAGTGAGGGGTCTTCAAAATGTGGTCAGCAACGAACATATACACACGATCTTCAGTGCGGCGTGACGTTTGCCATGCTTATAGCGGTTCGCGGCCAACAACGGGTGTAACGTGTTGATCATGCCGTATGCCGTTTTCCCACACATGTACCGAATCACCCTGCATAGCCCGCATGGCTTGCGAAGCTGTGGGGCATACGTGAGAGGCGCTGCGGGTCATTGCTTCCATCATGTGTGATGGGTCCAGGAGATTTGGTGGCTTCCTAGTTGTTCTTCGCTTGATCATCGCGAGCTGTCAGGCTGCTTTTCTCGGCAGAAACGGCCATGGAAGTCAGAGCAACCAGTGAAATGCCCTGTTGAACTCCCATGACAAAGTCGTCACCACGTATTCTTATCGAGGCCGGTCATCGCTCCCGGGGCTCCATCGAATTCAAAGTGGCAGCTAATCAAATATGGAATATGCGTTGCCGGCCGAGTCCATTTCATGCCTTGATGGACCTCTGCAACTCGGAGCAGAGCCCCACGATCTTGAGTGTCTCAAGCTGCGTGTTCCTTGTCTGTACTTGTGCTTCGTGAAGACTTTCGTAATCTGATGCCTTGGTCCGAAGCCCAGCTGCCGCGTGAGAGGCATTTGTCCCGGGGCTAAGTAGCCGAGGCCAGACGTCCAAAAACACGGCACCAGGAGAATCGGAACAAGCACACCGTCAAGAGCATCGGCCGCCGTCCCAACACAGTCAAGACCCGGGGACGGTCCTTCGTAGTTAGTCACCGGGGATGACTGAGAGGAAACTGAGGGGGAATCGCGGTGCTACAGATTAGTACTTGACGATGGAGGTAAGCAACACACAGCACTCATACGTCGACTGGCAAGAGCAAGGTTTCCTGGCTGATTCATGGACAACACGTTTTGATTCTTTTGAAGCCTCGTAGGCATTAGCACCCCAGCGATTAGTGCTTCCCATTTGCGATCGCCTTCGAGTCCACAAGACCAAGTCTTTCTGCGGTTCCTTCGGACTTCGAGGCAAGATCGTTGACTCGCTCCACTTCAAATCCGGCAACGGCCTTGTACGCCAGGCCGATATCCTCGAGCTCTTTCTGGGAAATGATGTCGTTGATGTGCTTGAAGCCATTCGGAGCTCGCTCATGAGCAACTTGCAAGACGTGGTCTGGTCCATTACCTCGATTCGCCATGACAATCTTGGCCGTGATTGGAAGTCTTTCGTCCTGATAGGCCTGTAAAGCACCGGTGATGTTCGCGATATCACCAGATTGCCACCGAAGCAGACAATTGGTCAGACAGGCAGCGTCCAAGATGGCTTGCGATGCACCGTTGCTACCAATTGGATACTGATTTGACAACTGTTAGCAACTTAGAAAGGATCAGCCAGACCGGTAAACAACACACCATTGGATGAGCGGCGTCTCCGAGCAATGTCAGCGATGCAAAGCTCCATCTTTCAGCTGGATTGCGATCACACATTGGGTATTCAAAGACCTTTTCTGTTTCCGCGATGAGTTGAGGTACGTCGAGAAATCCAAAGGTCCAGCTTTCGAATTGGCCTGCAAATCTTTCCTTCGGAACATCATTCAGCCAGTCTGTCTTCTCAGGAGGTGTAGTATCAGGATCGATCTCATCTCTGACTCTAAGCTCGGCGATCCAGTTGACGAGCGACTTCGATCCAGCTTCACCGCCGTAGTTTCGAATCGGGTAAGCGATGAACTTCTGATCCGCATGTCCGGACCAGACCATTGAACTACCGGTCAAGAAAGGCTCGCGCTCGACACAGCCTCGCCATAGCATGCGGCCAGAGAAGTTCGGTGGGCCTTCTTTGGGATAGAGAATCCGTCGGACTGTGGAATTGATGCCATCAGCGGCGACGCACAAATCTGACACCATTTCTGGAATGGCTGCCTTTTCGCCAGAATGTTTCTGGTGGAAGCGAAGCTTCACTTGCTCGCCCTCTAGATGCTCGAATGTTTCCAGCGCGTGGTTGAGATGAATGCGATCCTCTCCTAGACGTTCCTTAACGGCATCCAAAAGCATCAATTGGAGTTCCCCTCGATGGACAGAAAACTGCGGGACCTTGTATCCAGCAAACTTGCCCCTGGGCTCACTGATGATCGAGTTGCCATGCCTGTCGTAGTAGTTAAGCTCCTAGCGCCGGTCAGTCAAAGGTGCACGCAAATTCCGCCCAAGCACCGCGATGCAAGCGCTTGCCTGTGAAGCGTGGGCCAGTTCTCATGCAGCCAAAGGGGCAGGGACGAGAGACTGATGGGGGCAATCCACCAGCAACGGGAATCCACAAGTCGTACCTGAGTTTGGATGCCAATAGCCTCCAATCTAGGGAGGAGTCCCAGATTTCGCAGGACAAGGATGGCATGAGGCTGGACATTGATGCCCACTCCGAGTGAGGTTAATTGACCAGCRGCTTCAAACAGGTCGATGTTCTTGAACCCATGAGCATGAAGGTGTAGAGCGGTGACCAGGCCACCGACGCCTGCTCCAATGATCGCGATTCGTGGGTCTTTCGCCATGGCTGACTGGTTGATGTTGTATGGACAAACACTCTTTCCTTCAAGCCGCTCGTGTGCAGGTCAGCGTTTTCGAGTCCGGAAGGTCCATCGCACTTTCGAACCGCACAACCCATGCTGGCGCTAGGGCCTCGGCAATTGTTTATGGCATTTACGACTGGGTGGACTGGAAGAGATGGATGTCGTGAGTCTGACTGACTGACATGGCAGATGTCCTCTCGCTCATTTCTCCTGACGATATATGGCCTCGGGTAAAGCAAGTGACACGCGTGGTTCACTTACATGTATGCGTAGCACAAAGAAGGACGAAAGTCCTGCCGATCGGCTGCTCCTTACGGCCGTAGTATCTTCCGTCAAACCATCATCCCTGCCATATACGCCAGTCAGCCCACGTTGACCTTATACCAGCTCCTCGTCATGGCTTGTTTGCCGCCATCTTGATGAATGTACTGAACCAGACGTTATGGATCTAGTGAATGACGCGGATGTCAGGGATGATATTCGGGAGCTCAAACCTGGGCTATCCGCGCACTTGCACCACGCATGCGGGAACGAGCCGCTCTCGTCTGTTAGCAATCCATGTTGATGGGACATTCGCCCTCAATGCATGACTCGCGTGACGAACATCTAGGATCAAAGCTAGGATATCTGTAAGAGCCAGCAAAGTACTCAATGTAGTAGTGATGTAGTTAATGGATAGGTATGTATAAGTATATAGTGGATCCCAAAGTGGCTAGCCTATGTAACTCACCTACTTTACCTCCGAACCTCGTTCCATTTGCTGACCACCTCCGCCCTCAAGACGAGCAGGTGCAAAGATGCGATGGCGCTTTTGGAAGAAGGAGCAGGATGATGACGACCATGACCGCCGAGTCCAACCTCGAACCCAACCCCCATCGACCTTGAACCGCTCGACCTGGACGACCACTCAAGTCGCCCAGCTTGTCCTTGTCGCCGGAGCAGTCTATGGGGTTCGAAAAGGCTACAAGCGATACCTCCGTCGAATCCCAAATATCGAGCATGTCAAGCCTCGCATGTACCGAAAACGCAGCATCTACGGCTATGTGACTCGAGTTGGCGACGGTGACAACTTCCGCGTCTTCCATACCCCCGGCGGGCCGTTTATGGGATGGGGATGGCTACCGGGGAGGAAGCCGCAAGAATTGACGAAAGCGGAGTTGGTGGATAATACTTTGCATGTGCGAGTCGCGGGGGTCGATGCTCCGGAGTGTGCGCATTTTGGAAGGCCGGAGCAGCCTTTTGGGCCGGAAGCGATGGCTTGGTTGGGGGATACTGTGGAAGGTCGCTATGTGCGTGTATGGCCGTATGCTCGGGATCGGTTTGATCGCATTGTTAGTTCGGTGGAAGTACGGCTCCCGTGGAGACTGCGGAGGTCAGATTTGGGATTGAGAATGATTCAGTCGGGATGTGCGACTGTTTACGAGGCCAAGACGGGCAGTGAGTTTGGAGGAAGGGAGGAAGAGTATCGTGAAGCTGAGAAGCAGGCGAAAGCGAGGAAGATTGGCATGTGGGAGGAAGTTGGGATTGTGGGAAAAATGCTGGGCCATGGGAAGAAAGTTGAGACTCCACGGCAATACAAGAACCGGATGAATAATCAGGAGTCGGGCAAGTGATGGATTTATGTTGTGCGAAGCGAAGATACCCTCTTGTTTGCTCATACACACGACGATAACGAGGACACGTCAGTAATGTCCAGGGCCAGGGAAATGGAAGGATACTGCCCTACCTTCTACAGTTGGAGATGTCATCACCTCCAGAACAACGACTTCACATTCAGAGCGAAATCGCTCAGAAGCACATCGGATCCTCGACAGGTGGTGGGACTTTGGTGGCAATATCAAGCTGCTTCATCTAGCGTGGTCATCGGTCTGTCGTGTCATACTTCCCATCTGTCGGCCAACGTAGCACAAGACCACCAAACCGCCGCACCTTCGTCAAACACCCCTCACGAGGCAAAAGGTAAGATTCATCTCGTCTTGCGTCAGCATWAATCTACCTAGTACTTTCTCAAAGTCGCCCCTTACGCCCTGCCGGCACCACTTCAAAACAATCGTTGCCACAATCTCAGAGCTTCGAACCTTCGTTCGCATCAGGAACCTTCATTCGCATCAGAAGAATGATCTGAACACCCCCATCCACACTAAGTACTTTCCATCTTCTGCCTAGCAGCCTCCATCTCCTCAGGCGGAACAGCCCTATTCTCCTTAACCCACACCTTCTCATCCTCACTCTTAAACGGCGGAGCATAAATTCCATTCAACTTCCACAATCTCCTCTCAGTCTCATCAACATGATACTCCCAGTCATATCCTTTGTCGGCAATATGCGGCTTCAACAGCTCGTCGATCCGAGTCGTAACTCCAGCATACGCGGAATCCTCATTGGGCATATTGACATGGATGTGTGTGATGACCAGGCGAATGAAGGGACTTCCTCGCGTATGGGCGAGTTCCCCGCCGACAAACATGTTCTGTTCTTCTGTTTCGATATAGTTGACCACCACGAAGAAGGCGGGCATTCCTATTTTGGTATAGTTGGCGGTGATGGCTTTGGCCAGTGAGGATTTTGAAGCTGCATCTTGGAATGTGTTTGGCGGGTGGTAGATCTGCCAGAGAGGCATCTTGGGCTGGTTTGTGTTTGGGTTGGTGGGTTGGCTGGGGAGGTACAGTTAGAAGAAACCGTTTGGGTTTTTGATGGGGATGATATTGACCGGGGGGATGAACAGTTTATATCAGTGTCTCTTCCTCTCCGCTAGCTGACACTTGAATACTGATCTTGCAATCGCACAGTGGTACAAGTTCTAATCATATAATCGAATAGGCGTCCTGTGTAGCTATCTGCGTCATTGATCACTAATCTTGTACCAGACAATTGACAAAGTTACGGCTTGATGACCATGGCGTGCGTCTCCACACAATGATCTCTTCCAAGAAGCAGCGTCTTAGGCAAATAATGCAGCTGTTCTGGGTGGTCGATGGTCTGGGCACCTTCGACAGAGATCCTTGTTCGTTTCAGGGGCTGACATCTTCTGCCATCGCGAATCAGAACATCACTAAACAACCTCGCAATGAAATCCCCGTGTCACCATCACTAAACATGGCGCAATCCACAAATCACCGAACAGACATACATAGATAAAAGCAAGTATATCGCCTTAATCCCCATCCACAATTCAACAAAATGGCACCCCCCCTCATCTTCATCACCGGCTCCACAGGCTTCATAGGTTCCCACACAGCAAACGCAGCACTCGCAGCCGGCTACAAAGTACGACTAAGCATCCGACATCCAGAAGTCGAACACGAGATCCGGAAATGGATCACCGGGCCCCAAGAACACGTCGATATCGCTCACATTCCTGACTTGACCAAACCGGAAGCTCTCAGAGGTATCCTGGAAGATGTAGACTTTATCTTTCACCTAGCTAGTCCCATGCCAGGCAAAGGCGAAAATGTCCAAAGTGATTATATCGATCCCGCCGTCTCTGGAACATTGACGATCTTAAAAGAGGCAGCACGTTCCGAGAGAGTCAAATTCGTGATTGTGGTATCTTCGATCCTCGCGTTGATTCCACTGGGTGGGATGAGCAAGCCTCCAGTCTATCCCAAAGGTATTTACTCTCCTCCAATGTTACTTGCAGGAGACCCCTCACTAACTCAATGACAGCCAACACCAACGAACGTCTCCCCGTAGATCTAGGCCAAGTCTTCCCATCAGGCTCAGCGGGCTACGGCATGAAATACTCAGCCTCCAAAATCCTCGCGCACCAAGCAACTCGAGATTTCCTCTCGCGATCAAAACCAAATTTCAAACTCGTTACTTTCCACCCGGCATTTGTTCTCGGAGATAGTTTGATCCAGAAGCATGCCAAAGATATTGATGGCATGAACGCCATGTTCTGGAAATCCCTCTCGGCATCACAACCTATGATTCCGAGTGCTTTTGTGCACGTGAGGGATGTTGCCGAAGCGCATGTGAAAGCCTTGGAGAATTATCAGGTTCTTGAGAATGGTACTGAATATATCTTGTCGGCTCCGGTGTTTGGGTGGGATAAGGCGGCTAAAGTGGTGAGGGAGCGGTATCCTCAGATTGAGGTTTCGTTGGAGAAAGGTCCGTTTCCGCTGGATGACTGGCGGATTGATGCTTCACGTGCAGAAAAAGACCTGGGGATGAAATGGAGGTCTGGACAGGCCATAATTGGCGATCTTGTTGATCAACAGCTTGCGTTGAAGGAGCAGTCGAATTCGTAAAGTCTATAGCCTGCATTTCAATAAACCACAGCCTCACAATGTATAGACAAAGTCAGGCCTTTCATCTCCAGCAGCCCACACTTGCTCGGCGCTCTTCCCGGCAAGCATGCCATCCCTCGCGCCAGATCGACGTCGTCTGTTCTCTGCCCTGAGCATCAAATGCGTGAATAAAGACCCTCCAAGCAGGCAAAAGGTCAGATAACCCAACACGACTCCATGTCCAGTTTGATAACGTGGCTTTTGCTTTGCGTTGTAGATCGAAGAGGAAACCATTCCATTGAGATTGCCCCATCCGACCACGATCCCAATCACGACTCCACGTTTGTAAGTGCCTTCGATGTTGTTCGCCACCCATGCGAGAGAGTTCGGCACGCAAGGATAGATGCCCATTGCACCAAGAAATGTTCCAGCATATTGGATGTGTGGATCAGATGTTGCCAACAACATACTGAAGCCGGCGATGCCAAGCAGTGGGATGCAGATATTGCAGTATCCGCGCCATTGTGTCCGGTCTGCAAACCATCCGACTGCTACTGTGAGGGCAGCGGCGACGGCATATGGTGGAACGGTGAGGAGTTGAGCACGAGTGCCGGTGTGGCCCATCCCGGCTAGAATTGTTGGTAGAAAGAGCGAAAAGGAGTACAGTGGCCTAGCACGATCAGCAAGCTGTACCATCACACATGAACAACGCAGTACTCACATGAAGAAGCCCATGGAGATGACGGCGTACGAATACGTCTTCCAGTCCTTCAGAGCTGCCATGACGTGAAGCTTATGGTAGTCTTCGGTGCCGGCACTACCTTGTTTGTCATTTGCGAGACGACAAAGAACTCGTTGCCGCTCCTCGACAGTCAAGAAGCGAGCGGTCTGTGGCCAGTCAAACACCATCCACCAGCTACGTCGGTTGGTCAGTTGCAGAGCGCAGCAATGTGTACAGACACCAAGACTCACCAGAAGCAGCCCACGAAAATGGTTGCCAGACCCTCGATAATGAAGATCCAAGCCCATCCAGAGAGCCCTCCCATGCCAGCCATTTGAGCAATAGCGGCTGCGAGCAGACCACCAAAGGCACCAGCAAGAGCAGCGGCTGAGAAGAATATTGCAATACGAATGCCAAGTTCAGATCTTTTGTACCAGCAGGACAGATAGTAGTTGACACCTATCGAGCGGGTAAGTTATAAACCGCATTTATCAAGCATACTGCTTACCAGGGAAAAGACCGGCCTCAGCAAGGCCCAGTAGAAAGCGAACAACGAGCAGGCTTGCCATGTTCTTTACAAACCCCATGCACATCTTGAGAGACATCAGCAATTGCCAAATCAAAAGGTCCTGAGAACTTACCATCATCAAACCCCAGAGAAGAATGATGGATGTGAAGAAAACTCGCGGAGATAGACGCTTCAGTATCAGATTCGTAAGAGGCTCAGCCCCGGCGTATGATATGAAGAAGATGATCAATGTGATGTTGTAGTCGAAGCCCTTGAAATGTAGATCGTCCTCGAGGCCAGCAAGGCGTGCATTCCCGATGTTTGTCTTGCATTGTCAGCGTGTTGCCGTCTTTCAGCGATCGAGAGGAGACTGACTCTGTCTAGGAACGACAGCAGATAAAGCAAGCAAAGCCATGGTATGAGCCAGAGATCGATCTTTCGCACAATTTGCTTGTCGAGACGAGCTCGCTCTTCTGCCGACTTGCCAACATCGGGATCGTATAACGGCTCAGACGTGTCGGAAGAATCTGAGCTGAGTACCTCTGCTTGCGAATACTGAGCAGCTTTTTCATCGTCAAGAGACGACATGATGACCGACAATGAATTGAACAATGGACAGCAAAGGAAGATTTTCTCAACAGGTCAAGAGGGCTTCTTCGCTATAAGCTGGGGAACCGGGCTCGTATAGTTTTTCAGCCTTTGATAGTGGTCTTATCGAAACGCATAAAGCGCCGTCTAGTGTGACCACCATTTCGCCTGTTGGTCGGTAGCACAGAGATCAATTGAGACATTCGGCTTCGGTCTAGACACGTGCATGGGGGTGCGTGCGTTGGCTCCCATTACTTCCCCAGACGAACAGGAACCAAATATATTAATTCAAGCATTGAGGATAAGGTACTTTCCGTCCAATCAGCAGTCGGTGGTTGTACGTGGCACTTTGAGAGTCTCGAACTGTTGGTTAGAAGTAGCGAGCCAGATGCAATGGGTGCATGTGTCGTTGGAATTCGACTGGAAAGTTGGTGCGGCTGAGATGTCGTGCTCTCTCATCTTTCAGCTGAAATTCCATGGCGTTTTTCACATCCGTCGGATCTTCTTGGACAAGATGCTTGTTACAAGGCTTTTAATAGTTGAAAGGTACCCAGGCACCTCTTTTGTAAGGCACGTTCAAGCCATGTCGATGGAATTCTGTCAAGTAGGTAACGTCATGCCGTTGGGCTGCTCGAGTAGATCTGGCCTAAGTGACTCTCGCGTTCAAGGCTAAGGTACTGCTTCATCTTCGGAAGAGAGGTCCGGAAGCGCTGTACCCGCACATCTGACGCGAGGGTGTGCGTGTGTGAATTCAGGCTGCAGACCGAAGGAGTGATAGGTATTTGGGATATTTCGGACAAGTCAGCGGCATCCTTCAGATCTGGAGGAGAACAACCTGGAAAGGGTAAATAAAGTGGATGACTAACGCCCATGCTCTCCTGCGTCGGGTGACGGTCTTCGGAAACGCGTCCTTTGCAGCTGAAAGTGCCGTGGGGAGCAAGGTAGGACAGCTCATGCAACAACTTCCACCTCCTTTGAACAAGCCCAATCCAGCTCTGGTCAAGCTCAAGGTGACAGTGTAGCTGCCCAGAAGCTTCACAAAGGACTTCATCCCGACAATCCACCATGGCAGACCTCGAAAGCACCCCCGRCCAGCTCAACTGGAGACTCAGCGCGCATCCCATCACCCTCGTCACCTTTCTCGCCTTCCGCATATGTATGTCCTCTTGATACCTCCTCGTCCGGTTCAAACGACACTAACACTCCCTCCCAGCAAGTCTTCTCGTCTACCTCCTCGGCCTAATATTCACAGAAAACTACGTCCTAGTCTTCATCGTCACCATCCTCCTCCTCGCCGCAGACTTCTACTACCTCAAAAACATCGCCGGCAGACGTCTCGTGGGTCTCAGATGGTGGAACGAAGTCAATGTCTCGACCGGGGATTCACACTGGGTCTTTGAGTCCGCACCACAAGCCAATGAACCAGGTGGAAAACTGGTGAATGCTACGGATAAGAGATTCTTTTGGTTGGCTTTGTACGCGCAGCCRGGACTGTGGGTGGGGTTGGCCATTGCAGCGATTGTTAGTATCAAGCTGATATGGTTGACGCTTGTTGGTGAGTATCTTGGGACGTGGGAGACACATGGCGGAAAGGAAGCGGCTAACAATACTTTGGCAGCCATTGCACTGGTTTTGACCATTACGAACACTCTGGCGTTCTCGAGGTGCGACAAGTTTAGCCAGGCCAGCGGGCTGGTGGAGAGAGGGCTTTACTCTGGATCGCTTGCGAGGAATGTGGGCGGTGCTCTGGTGTCTCGGCTGTGGAGTCGTGGGTAGTTGTGTCTCCTCGACTATTGCGAAGAATATCATAACGACTGTATAACACATCAAGAGTTGCGATTCAACTGTTGGCCACTAGACCGGTCTTCGCATTGTCCTCCAAGGTATGTTCGAGGCAACCGCATTGAGCAACATCACAGAGACAAGAGATACGGCTGAGAGATCTGCTCACATTTTGACTAACAATGTCTAACAATACATCTGGTGTACATACAGAGACCTGATTCAGCTTGAAATCCTCATGTTACCCAACACCACCAAGGCAGGAACCACCTCGCCCCAAGTCGAGAAGAAACGCACAATGAAAGGATGGCGAGTTTGAGATCCGAAATGGACGTGGACTCTCCGAAGCCGCGAAATGATGGGCTGAGTAACGACTCTCTCCAGCCCTGGTACGATACCATCGATATGGGGAAGTCTCATGGCCAATGTATCTCGCAGGTCTCTCCTTCGTGACGCCAGACCTCCGTTTGTATTGGCTATCTGCCGCTTGCGACGTTGTAACTGGATGACTTGTGGCAAAGGCAACACAATCGGAGTCGAGGAATAATGGCTTCGAGTCAATTTGGCGAGTTGCGTAGGTTCCTCCAGGACTGGCATATGAAAGCGGATTGTATTGAGCGGATATGGAATAAGTTTACACTCGTAATGGATCTGTCTGCAGGTTGAGCTGAGGACGAAGAGGTTGTGTGGAATGCCGGTGTTATGATCGTGGTCGAAGTTGATAGGAACACCACCGGGGACACCGAGTACCATCTCATATACGATGTTGCGCATATCGGCCGGGAGCATGGCTAAGGAACAGTCGTTGAGGGTTTGTTCCGTTCGCTGCGAAGCTCTACCTGAGATTGTGTTCGGGATGTGACCCTTCCTGGGCATGTTTCGTTTGTTGTTGTTGTCGGAAAGCATCGAGAACATAGCGGGTGAGACATTGGCTGCRGACGATATGTAGAGGCGGTCCATCCCGTTCAACGTGGTATGGGAGGCAACGGTCTGTTGGGCGGCGGGCCTGGACATGGAGGAAGACTAATTGGCATGCTGGGAGTGTAGATGTGCTGTGACTGCTGGAACAATATGATCGTTGCAAGACAAAGGTCTCATCCAGACTGCATGGGGTTCTATCATTTATGACTTCTCATTTCTATCTAGAGATAATCCTTCAGAGAGGGGACCGGGTAAAGAGGCAGCAGTTTAGCTTCACCCTCTGTCGATGCCACAGGCACCGATAAGACATGGCGACTCGCGCCAAACACTTGGTTACTTGATTCCATGGTAGAAATGCGGATTCTCGACTAGCGTTCTCCCGGTACCAGCTGAGTGATCTTGAGCGGCGCATGAATTTCGAATCAAAGCGGAAGGATTTAGCAGCCCATACAATCGGTACGAGAGTGATGAACCTGAACATGATGCGCTTGAGGTCGTTCCACTTTTGCGGCGTTGTGCGCGGAGATCGGAGGGCTGTCTGCGCAGCCTCGCCCGGGGGCTTGTCACCTTTGTCGTCCCGAAATGCTGAGGAGTGCATCAAGATATCCGCAGGGTCTGTTTAAACGAGCTCGCAAAGAACAAAAACAAAGGCGCAGGCGACATCGTCGATTTGAGACATTGAGCCTTACGGACAGGAACGACGCTTGTGATAGCTGTGCGGTAGTGAGTCCACGGAACAAGAAGTGCGTCTGCTACACAAGGTAAAAGACTTGATGTTCGTCAGTGAATCGAGCATTCAAGTGGATCACCACCTGAAAGTATCACCACGTAAGAGCTGAGGTCGCGGAAGTGACAGCCAGAAGCCGGATGGCCGCTAGATCTCAGTAGGCAGCGCCAGGTCCTTCAACGTGGGGTGCGGAGCAACAATAAGGTATCCACACATTGAAAGGAACTTCTCCAATGCCAGATCCGGTGACTCGTACTTGATGTCTCCAGTCGTGCGGGACAGACGATTACTGGGCCAAGCGATCATTGCATTTGGTTGACTTGGCAGCAAAGGGTCCATGAGTATCACTGTTCGTCAAAGAGGCCATCATTGATGTGCCGCATTGAAGTGCTCTCCACTCTGCTCTGCACCTCTGTCCGAGTTTGTGTTCTTGCAAGCAGCAAAACCACAGCCACAGAGCTGCGGTACCAAACGTGTCGAACCGCCCTGCGTGTGATGCTTCCTTTCAGGACAGCTCGTGCGTGCGGAAGGGCATCGTGGAATGTTGGCTTATATCTCCCCGAATTTCCGTCTCGTCACCTGGCGTGACTGGAAGCAATGGTCGTCTGATCAGCCTACAATGGACCTGCTAATCACTGTTGATAGCTGCCAATGCAATGACTGGAATACTCAATCTGAGCGGCGGGATCTTGTACTCTGACGCTATCATCATGGACATTATCATCGATGACCCCGCTGGACGAGATCTCAAGCAGTACTGTTTGGCGTCCATTAAGATGCGTGGTATTGCAGTTCGCGTGAGGCGCGGCTGCAAGGCAAGCATCCTAATTTGTTCTAGATCGCGTCCAGAAGGGCCTGTAGCACGAGGTGGCTTCTGCAATGCTTTCACGGGATTCTGTGGCTTTGCAGCGACAGCAGGTTTTCGCGCCGCCCAAGATGAAGCTCCACGAGTCCGCTACAGCGGGTGGGTTGACTGGGTTGACAAAGGGTCAGTCGAAGTATACCAGAATGCTGTGTAGCTGGCACTCCGAATTAGCAGCTTGAATAAACATGAGTCCAGTCTAGAGGACGGTTCACAGCGAGCGCGGCATCATCATAGGATGGAGGTACATGTAGTGAAGTCCAGTCTTTCTAGCTCGGCCATTTCGCGGCACGTGGGAGGACAAGGGCGAAACTGCCACGCCGGATCCAGATCCAGTCGTGGTCGCGAGAAGTGCTGAAGGTCAGGGAAATGGTGAGCTGGTCTTGGAGCTTCGCGTCGAGATAACTAATGTGCATCATGCTGGATCGGTGGAGGTCGAGGAGTGGGTTGTTTCGACAAAGGAGGTCAGGTAGATAACGTAGGTAACCTTGTCGTCTCCCAAGGATGTCTCTACTCCTAGCGTCCCCGTCCCATCCAGCCAGCCTCGCTTCGACCTCAATCTCAACATCACACTTGTACCATCCTCACTATAGAAATGCCTGCGCATCTACAATGGCGACCTCGGAAGCGCCGTTCATGTCTCTCCGAGAGGGAGATGGAAAGATCACGCGCAAGATCACCGGCAAGTGCAAGACAGATTGAAGTAGGTAAGGTAGGCACTGGCTGACTGTGTCTAGCTTGTGTCGCATGCCGCAAGCAGAAGATCAAGTGCTCAATGAAAGAGGGCCAGACACAGTGTGCCCGCTGCAAGAAGCGAGGTCTGAGTTGTACTGTCAACAAGAGCCTTCAAATGATTCTTCAATCCGACGTTGAGTGGAAACAGCACATGGAGCGCAAACTACTTTCCGTGGAGCATGCGCTTGMGAAGGCTGGCATCGAGCTTGTCGACGAAGATGACATGGATGAAGACGAAAGTCCTGAACAGTACGGATCGACGCCCGCAAATGCGCAGAGTGCTCAAGCATCGGCCACGCAGCCGGAGAAGCAAGCGTACGAGATTGTCATGGATTCGGACAGTGGACCAGCTGCGATTCCTGGCTCGGTCGTGTCCAGCATAGCCTTCCCCGGCCTGGAGACCAGCCGCGCTCAGCAAGACCTCATCAGTCGAGGTATTCTCACCGCCCTACAGGCGCAGCGCTATCTTGACATCTATCAAAACCGCCTTGATCACTTCTTGTATCGCATCATTGGGGATCGGAAGAACTTGGAAGAAGTTCGAGTAGCCTCTCCGATTCTGTTGGCGGCCATTTGTACAGTGGGATCCCTCCACCTCAATACGCCCGACTTTGAAAGACTTTACCAGGAATTTGTTTCAATCGCGGCCGCCCAGACCTTTTCTCGGCGGAACACTGTGGAGGATATCAGAGGTCTCTGCGTAGCTGCATTCTGGCTGAGCGATGTTTCGTGGAGGTAAGTGTCATCCATTGACTATTCCTCGAAGCCATCGCGGGCCGGGACTGTGTAGCTAATAGTCTCCGTCTTTAGTTGCATCGGCATGGCAGTACGTATTGCTACAGAGATTCAGCTGCACAGGTCCATTGTGAGTACATGTATACGGCTTTCATCTCCTTCCTTTGCGGCCATTCTCTTCCGGGCATGTAAGATCGTCTCGATGGAGGCGTCTCCATGTAACTTTAGCGTCTCGGAGAGACGTGGTCTGCATGCTTTTTGGCCGAGAGTTGCATCCAGCTGCTGACCTTTCGTCTCTTGCCGCTAGTTCAGAGCGCTGGACGGTGACAGAAACCACTACCTTCGTACGCGTCTATGGTACCTCGTGTTCGTATGCKACCACCAGTTCAGCGTAGCTTATGGCAGGCCACCGATGACGCGACAATGTGACGATGCTATCCGAGCTTCGATGACATTTCTCGATACCGAGCACGCGGTGGAGGATGATGCCCGATTGATATGTGAGTTACCTCTGCCCTTCACCTCAGCCCGGAGGCAGAGCACATGTGACTGATCTGAATCCGAATGCTCAGCGCAAGTTCAATTTTGGACGACGGGTGCCGAGATCTACGAGACGTTCGGGGTCGATGTTGACAGACCTCTTTCTCCGATGATGATCGGGAGACTCGGGAGACTCAGCGATGACCTTGATCGAGTGAGAGACACTTGGTATGGGCGCTTCAAGGAAAACCGTTACGTCGGCAATTATCCTCGCAAAGGAGTCCAGCTTCACTGCCACTTCGCAAAATTGTAGGCCAGCAGGGTCCCGGGGGTGTTCCAGGACCCATCGCCCATTCTGCAAGATACGTATGCTGATGTTAGCTTTGTTTTCTTCAGGTACTTACATTCGATGGCGTTTCGCGGCATCGGCCAGCCATCGTTCAAATCCGCAGATGTCGCATCAGACATCAACGCCCTCGCCGAAACATCCCTCTACTCGGCATCAGCAATCTTACACGCAATCGTCGACGACGAAGAGATACAAGGCCACTTGAACGGCTTGCCAATGTACTTCGACGTCATGATCGCGTTCGCAGTGGTTTTCGTCCTGAAGGTCTCGACCAAATATGCCAGCTCAGTGCCAATCGATACAAGCCATATTCCTGCTCTTGTTGAGAGTACCGTCCAGGTTCTTCAACGTGTAACCGCCAACATGCATCCGCGGCATCTCCTGGTGTCCGTGGCAAGAGGAGCCCAAACTCTGTTCAACAAAACCTGCCCAACACGATCTCACGGTGGTGCAGTTCCGGCAAATGCACATGTAACGATGAGCCAACCGACATTCGACGAAAGCCTCTACGACATGGGAGCTGACTGGAACAATTCGATCTTCGACAACTTCTATATGGTCGGTTCTATGCGTGTCAACACTCGTATGGTGCTAACTTCTTGCTTTTGCGTGTAGGGCGAATATGATTTCTTGTCAAACCAGACCATGATGAACAATTTTCAGCCTGATTTGAACTACGCAGTGCCGCAGATGTTGGCTGCGGAGGACTGACATGTGCGAAGGCTAAGACCTTTTTGCTGCATCAATACGGCCTCTCTTTTGCAATTGGGGCTGTTTCGATGAGTTTGACGTGGTAGGAGCGACGCGTTCAACTCCAACGCGACGTGCATACAGTACACGAGTTCTTCGACGTGGCAAGGGTGCCCTACCTGGGAAATCGTTTCCAGCTTTCCACGGGGCGAAAGCCGGTCCTCGTAGATTCTTACAACGGACTTCGTCCCGCGATGTACTTCCGAGATAGGAAGTACCCCAGCAGATCATATGGTACAAAGCATCACACTGCGCACACTCCTGTCCTGGATTACATACAATACACTTCTTCTCCAAAATCAATGGCAGAATACAATTTGACGGAAGAGCAAGTAGCTCACTTCGATTCCGAGGGCTTTCTCGTGATCCGGGCCCAAGATCACGACCTGGTGGAACCTATCGTGCTTCAAACCTGGGCGGACGAGGTCAAGGGACTACCGCAAGAGCATGGAAAGTGGATGCCATATGACGAGACTCTCCCAAACGGACAGCGTCAGATCATGAGGACCGAGAACTTCGTCGACTACCATCCAGGCCTGGCCTCGTTACTCAACGGCAAGCCCCTCGCCAACATTCTAAAACAGCTCACGCGGGATGACATGTTGCTCTTCAAAGACAAGATCAACTACAAACTTCCCGGAGGCAACGGCTTCGGTGCACATATCGATTCGCCGGCCTACGATCACGTCGCCAAGATCGAGCACACGACAGCGAACTTTGCGGTGCATCCAGCGACCATCGCGAACGGCTGCATCGAAGTCGTTGCCAAATCCCACAAAATGGAAGTAAAGCTCGCCAATGGCGGTGCTATCGATAAGGAATGGGAAGCCAGCCAGACCTGGATCCCCGTCGAGCTCAACAGTGGCGACTTGCTCATCTTTGGCTCGCATTTGGCACATCGATCAGCACCAAATACCACCTCGCAGCCGCGTTCGAGCGTGTATGCGACGTATCATACGGTTACTGATGGAAAGGATCTCCGCGATAGGTATTATGCTGACCGACGAGAAAATTTCCCTCCTGATCATGAGCGATTGCCCGGGAAGGACTATAGTGAGGGTGTAAAGAGATATGCTTTTGCTGCGCCGTTTACGAAGATTGAGGGGGCGAAATGATTGTGTGATGAAGTTCCGTAGCGCAAGTCATTTGACCTCTTCCGCTGGTCGTACGTGACAGTTCAACATTCGCGATTCGTGTTCCTGGCTCGATGAAGGTATGGAAATAGGCGATTTCAATTCTTGCGCCGACCCTTATATCAACGAGTAACTCTATCATGCCCGTTCCCGAAATCCCCAAGAATAGTTGTTGACACGATCGTAACGTTCAAGCACAGTCGAGGAGTCCCACCCCTTTCACATCCACGCAGTCAAGCTTTCGTGTGGAATGCATGGCATTGCAATCAACATGGCTTTGTTGATGTGCTTGTTTCCATCTCCCGAWCGACGCCGCACCGCCGTCATTATTGAGAGTCTGCTTTGTTGAACATTTGCCTGGATACAATCGAGTGACGATCCCCCATGTCTGACACAGTGCCTAACAACGCCACATCATGAGTTCTGCTCTTCTGGAAAACTTGGCCAATGTGGATGCCGGCGGCTGTCCAGCGCCATTCATCGGCGAGAGTCTCTATCCCTATCGAGGCGGTTGTAAGTGTTGTTGACAATTACACAGCAGACTGAGGCATCATCTAACGATGTGTCGCAGTCTACGGGGGGCGAAATTGTGCTCCAAACCCACTTGTCGACGCATCCGATACAGGCAACGTCTCGCGATGCTGCATACCTTGCCCGGTCTTCGACTACGTCTACGACGATCATTTCCATGGCCAATCCGATGGCGCGGCTTGGGCGAACGTCGCCGGATTCATCCTCTGCGGCATCCTTCTCATATCGTATGCTGCTTTGCCGGCGAAGGTGACTCGTCGATCGTTCCTCAACATTATCCTACTTATCGGGATCATGATGCTGGAGTTGGGATTTATTATACCTCTTGGACAACAACCGGAACAGTGCTTCGATCCTGTGACGCCGAATGGGATGAGAAGCTCGGCTACCTGTGCTGCGGGAGGCGGATTTGCAACGTTTGGAGGCATGGCACTGGTCTCTTGGGTGCTCGTCCGAGCATTGTTTATGCACCTGCAGATATGCTGGAGCATCGTCCCTGATCGGACATACTACATTGCTGCGAATGTTGCTGTCTGGTCCATCACGATAGCTTTGACGTCCGCAGTCCTCGCGCATGTCGGTGTTAGCTTCCGTTTTGGAGGTTACTGCCATGTCAACGTGGGATCCATTTCGACGTACTGGGCCTGGTTGGTTGCATTTGCGGGCATCTCTCTCCTTTTGCAACTTGCTACCTTTGCATACTGCCTTCAGGTCTACATCTCGGCTGCATTTGCAGGACGCCAGCAACTCACAGCTGGCAGCAACAAGTCGGGGTCAATGAGCGGTACGACGCAGTCTCGAAACGCTCGGATTACGGCCCGTCGAGTGTGGAAAGTACTGGCTCTCCAGTGGCGCTCCCTCGCGATCGTCATGATAGCAATCTTCACCACAGCCTTGGTGTGTGTGGTCTTCATGGTGTACGACGACAAACTGACACAGGAAGCGTTTGTGAACACCGATGCTCTCATTCCGTGGATACTGTGCATTATCGAATTCCAGGACAATAGTCGATGCCTCAATCTAACCGGGCCTATCATTCTTCCTCAGAAACTGGCGGTTGTCACGCTTTACTTCCTTGGCTTTGTGGGGATCGAGGCCTTTCTGCTCTTGTTTCGAGTCGCGTTCATGAAATCCTGGCTAGACTTGTTACGGACGCCCTTTTGGAAGAAGAAGGCCAAGCGGAGCACCTGGACGGGCGAACGCGATGCCACACCGCATACCACCCCTCGGCGAGGCAATGCTGTCCGGGGAGAGGAGATTGACGGCGGAGACGAGACTTCGACCGAGGCTACCAATGAGAGCTCCAAAGAGCAGGTTTAGAGCCTCTGATGGCATTCTTAAGCCGCGTGGTGTGTCTGCGGGCTTACCTTGTATGTACAGAACACAATACGGTCTTGCCCGAAGTGTCTGCAGTGTCACATTTCGGCGAGTTTCACAAAGGGGTGCGATCAGGCATCACATTGGGTGTTGTGCATGTTGTGCGTGTGGCATGCCATGTGAGCGCGGTCGCATATGGAGTACCTTAGAGTGGAGGATGTACAAATACTCGGYAGGATGCGGCTTTGAACCCCTGTTCTGTAGCTGCCTTAGTTGCTGCCGATCCGCGAGCCTTCGATAATATCTTTCTCCATCGACATCATCATGGCCACGACCTATAGGCCGCGCGTGTTTCTCGACATCAGTATCGGCGCAGAGCCGGTGGGCAGACTCACAGTCGAGCTGTTCACGGACAAGACGCCTCGCACTGCTGAGAAGTAAACATCATCTCCACTTCTTGTCAACCTTCAAAGGCATAGTCAACTGTGAGCTAACAACGATCCCTCAGCTTCCGCCAGCTCTGCACCGGCGAACACAATGGCCTCTCATATGCCAAGGTGCCTCYGCATCGTATCATCGACGACTTCATGGTGCAAGGTGGGGACATCGAGTCCGGCGACGGAACAGGAGCACAGAGCATCTATGGAGCTGAGTTCGAGGACGAGAACCTCAACTGGCGCAAGTTGGATGCTGCTGGTCTGATATGCTCAGCCAATCGAGGAAAAGATACCAACGGCAGCCAGTTCTTCATCACGCTCGACGCATGCCCGCATTTGGACGGAAAACACACCATCTTCGGTCGGCTTGTGTCCGGCGAGCATGTCCTCCAGCAGATTGCAAAGGTCGAAGTAGATGAGGCAGACCACCCGCTGGAGCCGGTCTTGATTTCACGCTGTGGGGAGCTTGCACGAAAGGATAAGGGGAAGGCGAAGCGTGATTCACAGCAGGAGATTGCTGGGCCTACTACACCCGGGACCGACGAGCGAGGCCGTCGGCGGCAGAGCGACCTGTCGGATGATGAGATGAGTGCCGTCCCACAGCCGGCACAGAGACGCACTCGGCGGCAGAGCGACAATACTGTGGACGAAGGCAAGCGAGGCAGACCGCGCATACGCTCTCGCTCTCGCTCTGATAACTCACAAGCCCTGGAGGAAGTCGACGAGCCTAATTCTGACCACTCATCAGTCAAGATGCACAAGCGCAAACGCAGCCAATCTCCGAGCAGACGCCTGGACAGACGCTCGGATGGCGCAGAAGCGGAGCGTCGGAGGAAGAGTCTTCCCAATCAGTACAACAACCATCGCACGCGCGATCGTGAGCGGAACCACGGGCCCGACGACGAGGACAGGTATCGACCAAGCCCGCGGAGGGACAACCAGCGGTATCCGGGACGCCAGAACGACAACACTCGCCATCGGTCGCGCTACGCTGACGAAGGCAGACTCGCCAACGAAGGTGATGATGGACGACTCGATAGCGGAGACTCCTACGACGATCAGGCGCATGCGGTCAAGTACAAAGGCCGGGGAGCGATGAAGTTCCGGGAATGGTGAGTTTGACGATTTCATGACCTCGACATTTGCTGTGCGACATGGGTGCTATCTGTAACAAAACGTCCACGAGCGCCCCTGCGGTTTCGTTCTAATGGCTGTACGACGTGAAGAGAAGAGTGTAACAAGTAGCCAAATTTCAATGGTTGAGTACACCGCTTTCACACAGTGAAAGTCTATGCTTGCTGCTAGCCGCCATGGATCAGCTGGATATCCGATATCCGATATCCAGCTCCTCTGCGATTGTAACCATGAGCGCCCGCGGACTACATGTAAGTTAGGTACTACTGACTCTGTTCAAACGAGGCTTTCGGCAACTCGCTGAACTGCTTGCCGTATTGGGCAGTAACTACGTCCTAGTTTGAGCTCAATACAGCCTAAATACAGTCCAGCTGCACACCTGACCGCTTGTCGCCTTAGAAACGCCGCACGTCAATACTCAGACAGAGTGCGGAGAAGCAATTGCCGGTCCAGCTATCCTTGAGACTAAAGTAATCATAACGCGACGCACGAGTAAGGTTGGCGCAAGAGGAAAGCTTTTGTTCGAATCCTGTTTCACACCCGACCTGCACTTCCAACATTAGAGACTCCACGGCCACGATGCTGTTTATAACCGTCTTCACACTGGCCCTGGCGAGTTTGTCCAATGCACAAACGACTGAGTCCTCGAACAATCAGACTTCGCACTTATGGGGATTGAAGAAGTTTACTTCTTGGTGCTCATTCGGCGATTCCTATACGGATGACTCTCGACTCTCGTACTTCATCAACAACAATGGCTCGGCACCGCCTGTCGGCTGGGTCAATCCTGCAGTACGCACCCACAATCCGAGTCTCGATTACACTTACTGACCACCACGATAGAACTACAATTCTGCGAGCGGCGGACGTCAATGGCCGCAATATGTCAAGCAATACAGTGGCCTCACGGACCTCTACAATTACGCTGTTGCTGGAGCTGTCTGCAGTAACAACCTCATCAAGCGGACCGTGCAAGTCGCGAATGGGGGATTGATTTTGTTTCCTGTACCGTTGCTCATCCCCGGCTGCGACCACGTGTGTAGGCTGACGATATCACAGGATGTCGAAAATTATGAGATTCCAGCATTCATCGCAGACTCTCAATACACCGGAGCAAACGGCACAAAGTTCATGGCCGCTCCCCAAGACGAGACGGTCTACTCCATGTGGATTGGAACCAATGATCTCGGGTCCTTTGTGGGAGACACTCAAGTGCAGGGAAAGAACCTGGTGGACTACTTTGACTGCGTATTCGCGCAGCTACAAGCCCTCTACGATCACGGAGGACGGTACTTTGTGATTCAGAACATCGCGCCTCTCAATCTCGCACCAATGTATGCCCTCCCAGAGATCGGAGGAGTGGGGAACGTTACCAACAGGACCGAAACCTCCTATCGCATGTTGGAACAAGCTGTTACCTCCAACGCAATCTACGAATACAGGACTGCTTTCGCCGCGAGGATTGGAGATTCATTCCAAGGAGCCCATTTCGCAGTCATGGACATGCATGGTTTGATCTCGGACATGTATGAGCATCCAGAGCAATACCTGAATGGAACTGCGCCCGTGAATGTTACGAGTTATGCTCATCAGTGCAACGCGGACAGGTCACAGTGCGTGACCTCAGATAGCCCGGACTCGTTTTTGTGGTATGATGAACTGCATCCTAGTGAGCAGGCTGGAAGGACTTTTGCCAAAACTTTCATCGACGTCGTGATGGGAACTAGTCGATGGGCTACTTATTGGTCTGCTTAGAGGCGGCGATGCAGCAAGGTCACCGCTTCTATACATTTTATAACATTATACCAATACTTACAAGTGGCTGGTTCCTTACTCACTTCCTTCAAAGTCATCGTCAGCGTGCGGCCCGCTTGATGACCATGCTCCATTACAGCTCGGTTCGTTGCCATCGCGAAAGACGTTACATACTGGAGTCGAGGAATCCATACTCGCTGGCTCTCGGGCTCCAACAAGTTATCTGGCACCACGTGGATGGAGAGGTTCTGAAGCGGCATGGCTGACCTCCTGAGCAGGAGTGATGTACCTCTTGCTTGAATCCTGGGTGCGGGTACCAAAGGCTTTCAGTCCAAAGACCATTTGAGACGACGTGATGAGAGGGTGTATGGCGCTCCTAGAAGTCAATGCACCGAGATGGTCAGGAATGTGCTAGAGTATCAGCATTACGCTTGTAATGGCGCGTCAGTTTTCTGTATGAGTTTTGACAAGGTGCTGGCAAGAGGTTGCTAAGTTCTTGTTGTACGGACCATGGTCGCTCGGCTGGGAACCAGCGAGAGAATTGCCTGCTTGCGGTTCACAATCCGCAGCTAATCGCCCCAGCCCCTGACCTTTTCGCGAGATGACCTTTTGATATCAGAAGTGAAAATGACTGGCGCATGTCGCCTGGGAAGTCCCACGACGTGACCCGCACTCCTGGCCGCCAGCAATGCTGTGCAGCCACGAAGCTAATGCATGACATGTAGCTCACGGGCCAAATACGAATGCCGCGATTGGTGCTGTCGCCTGGCCAAGGCAGAGGGCAGCAAATAAGCCTTTCGTTCAAGCTGTGAGCCAAAAGACCTTGATGATGAAATGCACAGCACCGCCTCGAGCGAAGGATCGCGTGCAGATTGAGCTATGCCGGATCTTGAACATGGATGGGTTCATGAGGACGGGAGAAGCCACAACAGCACAGAACACGGTATACAGCAAGAGCAATGGACAGCCTTAAGATACAGAATGACAAGAATGAGGGATCGAATTTGTGTTGGGTGTGAAATGAAGGAAGTGCTTCGGTATGGAAGATGGGCGCAGCTACCTTACCTTAGGTTGTGCCCCCGCAAAAATCCCGATTGGTGAACAAATCGAGGGCGCATTCTACGGTGGTCTTTTAGCGACTTCCCTGCAACAACGCGATCTAATATAGCTTAACGCCACTAAGTGGAGTAATTTCACACCTCGCTTATTAATTCAATTGCCCGTACAATTACATGTAATAAACGTCGTTATTTGCTTGTATGTGTGTAATATTACCGTCCCGTTATTACTTAGTTACCGGTCCTAATATATAACGGGTTTTAGTTACCTATATCTTACTTTAATGCTGCTATTATGCATATGCTTCTACTAGTAACTTATTATACGCGTAAGAGTGATATTTATGTACTATAAGACTCTTCCCTCTACTCTTCTACCGTCTTCCCTAGTCCTCCTAATAACTACTATATTTAATACTCTAATTAGTACTCTTACTATCTATCCTCCCCTCTTTACTCTATTCTACCTCTCCGTATAATAACCGAGAAGGAAGTTCGCCGCTTCGGTATAGGCGACGTCGACCTATAGGATATATACTACTCGTCGGACGATAATAGTAATCTATACCTTATAGTTAACGACGATAATATAAGTAAAGATAATCGCCTTGCCTAGACGAGACTAACTAGTATAATCTAGCTTAAGACTAGTAGCCTCTATATTACTAAGGAACAGGCGGAGATAATCGATACGGCGAGTAGCTACGCCCCGAAAATTAAGAAGACCTAGGACCCGGCGAAGTAGATAATACTTAGAGACCGTAAGAACACTATAAACTCGATAATTATCTAGAGCCGGTTAGTATAATTACTTCTAATTAAGATCCGAGTATTCTTGCTAATAGATTCGTAGCGGTAATATTATTAACTAGGAATATACCGCCTACTAAGGCCGGCCGATCCTAAATAAGAACGAGCGAAAAGAGGGCAGAGGCCCTTAAAAGGTACTCTTTCTCCGCCTTCCTCCTATATAAAGATGTTTAAAGCTAATAATAGTAGGAATATATAAAATAGGAGCATATAATAGAGGGTGCCTATAGAAATTGTATCTAGAATAGTAAGAAGAACTTATACTCCGTAAACACCTTAAACGACCGCATCCTTAAGCATAAATAGAGCGAGAATACTAGTAATAACTCTAATATAGTAGGCAATACGGTAGATCCTTAGTATAAGGGCATAAGATTCCCCCGTAAGGCAAGTACGAAGAAGGCGAGCCGTAGTAAGGGAAAAGGCAAATAGTAGAGGCTATCTCCTCCTCTAGGTAGTATAATAGTACTAAAGTAGTTTTAGAGGTAGGTATAGAGCTAGCTCTAGAGCTTATTATTTCTTTCTCTCTCCCCTTTTCCTTTTATAAGATATTCTATTTCCTTTATAGAACTAAATTAATAATCGGAGTATATACCCTTTCTCTAGTACTATTATACGGCTACTATTTATAGAGAGAAGGGTTTTATCTCGGTAGAATATAGGTATCCCTTTTTCTATACTTTATATTTACTTTACTTATTTTCGAAAATAAGACTATATCGCTATTCCGCCTCTCGTATTCCTCGAGTATACTATTATTCCCTTTTACTATTATACGCATACTCCGTAAGGAGAAAGCATAAGATATTTATAAAATAGCTAAGTCCCCGTTTTATTTACTTTATATGTTCTCTCCTAA